CCCCCCCCCCCCCATATTTTACCATGACGATACTTCTGTTACTTGTGTTACGCAGTGTTTGTGCATGTCGGCCATTCTAGAGGTGTGGTTCGTTGCTACCGCCAGTATGTTAGAAATGAATGAAAAGAGTAGAGTCCCTTTATACTGAGAGTCAAGACAACACCGCCTCATGGAGTCACAAACTGGAATAAAGATTACACAAATTGAACGTTTTTCGTAATCTTTGATCGGCCCAATCTCAAATTCCTTTCTCCGTTCCTTCTCTTATTCCGTTTGTTCCTTGCCGAGCCCGTAATTCCCTGGTCCATTCCAGATTATAACCTTTGCAATCGGTGAAAATGTAATCTTTATTCCCGTTTGTGACACTGTGAAGGCCTAAAATACGGGAACCAATCAGAAATGGATTCACATTGTCTCGACTCTCAAAATAAAGGGACTGTAGAAAACAGGATTGGTACCTTCGTCGTTGGACTCGAGATGGAAGTCGTCGGAGAGGGTCTCGGAATCGGAGCGCTGGCGCATGACGCGGGCGACGCGGGCCCTCTCGGCGGCGGTGGGCGTCCGGAGGAGGGGCGAGGGGCGGCGCGGCGGGTGGTCCTCCGGCTCGGAGGGGCAGAGCGGGTTGTTGGAGCCGCAGCGGGAGGGCCCCGTGCTGTAGCCGGAGGAGCTGAGGTTCGACTCGGAGGCGTGCTCGGCCCGGCTCGTGCCCACGCTGAACGGGCTCAGGTAGTCCATGCCGCCGCCCCCTGGCGAGGGCGCCTTCCCCTTCCCCGCCCCCGCCGCCTCCGAGTCCGACTCCACCTCGCTCATCGAGTAGGTGATGGTGATGGTCGGCGGCCCCGCGCCCGCCTCCGGCCCCCGCGTCGCCGCCTCCTCCAGGCTCAGCAGCTCCTTGCTCGACATGAATGGCTCCTTCCGCGGCGGCGGCGACCCGGGGGATATCCGTAGCGTCGGCAGCGAGCCCGTCGGCGAGGGCTCCTCCACCGTCACCGTCGGGATGTTCACGTGCAAGGAGCTCGGCTTCCCTTGCTTCGTCATGCCCTCGGAGCTTCGCCTCTCCAACTGCGGACACAATTCAAAAACAAGTAATAAAATCAGCAGTCTTTCAGCAGGCCGATTATTGAATTGGATAGACAAAGCTATAGACAAAGAAGACAAAAGAGGTATGGAGAGATCTTACTAGTGGAAACGGGTGGTTGGGATGGACACAGGAGGTAAATGATAGACTAAGCTATAGACGAAGAAGACAAAAGAGGTATGGAGAGATCTTACTAGTGGAAACGGGTGGTTGGGATGGACACAGGAGGTAAATGATAGACTAAGCTATAGACAAAGAAGACAAAAGAGGTATGGAGAGATCTTACTAGTGGAAACGGGTGGTTGGGATGGACACAGGAGGTAAATGATAGACTAAGCTATAGACAAAGAAGACAAAAGAGGTACGGAGAGATCTTACTAGTGGAAACGGGTGGTTGGGATGGACACAGGAGGTAAGTGATAGACTAACTAACGGCACCCCCCGATAGTTACCTCATCTTTTTCTCCCTTATTCTATAGGAACCACCCACTTCAGTCGATAGGATAGCTCCTCACTCCCTATGTCTTCTTTGTCTATGGCTTTGTCTACCAATTTCAATAATCGGCGGCAGAAAATGTGCGAAGAGAAAAACGTAGAAAGAGCGGCGCGGCAACATGGCGATTCAATCCCATTTCAATGAAAAAGTCTGAAAATCTGCACATGAAATGTGTTGGGTACGTAATTTACAAACTGTGTGACGTACAGTCGTAGGAGCAGCAAAATCTAGCCAGAATCCAGGATTCGAACAGTTGCGCGTTTGATTTCCGCATTCAACAATGCGAACATCACACCTACAGTCATTAATGCCAGTAATTAGAGACAAGTGAAAAGCTGGGATTTTCCTTCATTTTCGTGAGATACCACATCACATACATACTCAAAGGTTACGGGCACTGACTAATTGCTCTGGAGAGAAATGTTTTCTCTCCGGAGCAATTAGTTAGTGTTTTGGAGAAAAATGTTTTCTCTCCTGAGGAATTAGTTAGTGCTACGGAGAGTAATATCTTCTCTCCTGAGCCATTAGTTAGTGTTCCGGGGCAAAATATTTTTCCTCTGGAGCAATAAGTCACTGTATGGGAGAGAAATTTTTTCTCTTCAGAGCAATTAGGTAGTGCTAAGGAGAGAATAAATGGACGTATTTCTGTCAAACGGAACTAAGCGCCAATTTGAGTTCCTTTTGAGGAATTTAAAATGCCGGATAGCGCGTTCTGTTAAACGGAACTAAGCGCGATTAAAAATCATTGTAAGTATAGGACGGAATGAGCCCGACGCCCGGTTCCGCCGCCAATCTAAGCCCCCCCCCCCTCTACATTCCTCCCCCAATAGCGCTTAGTTCCGTTTGACAGAAATACGTCCAAATAATATATAAACTACATACCTAATAATATATAAAAAATACATGAATAAAATGGAAGCGGAGATTTTTAAATATTGCAAACGAAATACATAGTCTGGTAGTTTCACTGTCGGTTTGTACTCAGTTACACAGATTCATGTAAAGTAGCTACCATCAAAACAAGATAATTCTCTTGAACTCAGATGTCATGTTCAAACAGATGCAGATTTTAATATGGATCGCCCTATACTCCTCCCAAGTGAAAAATTGCTTAACATTGCATGAAATAAAAAAAAAAAAAATCACACCTACCCGTGTGTAATATTCTGTCGGGACCGATAAGAAAATAGAGGTGTCCTCTCCTGTGCTCTCTTTATCTCCGTTTTTCCGCCTGAAAACGGGACTCAAAGCTGGTGAGGGAGCCGGTGTGGGAAGTTCTCGAATCGGAGACAGGCACTTGTTTGAGGCCTCTAGCAGAATAGTCGGTGGATGGAGTAAACTGGAACTCGTCTGAGCGCTGTGTGGTTCTAAAACTGAAATCTGTAAATACGAAAACATTTGATCAGATATATTAAAGTCGAAACAAAAATCTCAGATGCCGAGAGACCAGACATTAAGAAATCTGATCGAGATTGGCACTTTGCAACGAGTTCGAAGACCACTTGCCTGGAGTCAATCTCCTTCGATCTACTTTGGATTCGATATTAATGTCACTCGATCTTTACATCAATCGGAGAAAATGCCTATAATTTTTATGCAGACGCGGAGTCTAGCTCGCTATAGACTCGGAGTGTGTAAGACTGACTTCCTGTCGAGATATCATTGAAATGGACTTATTGTCACTAAAAGCAAGGAGAGAATTGACGCCAAATCAGACGGTAGGGGTTAGTTGCGTTGGTCTTAGAATAGTGTTTTGGTGCTAAATGGTTGTAGATCAGCTAAAAGTAATACTATTGGTCCAAACATACTGATACCGAAACTGCACTCGATTGCGATATTTTTCCTCTGAAAAATCCCTGCCTTTAATAAGTTGAATTTCTTCGTCAAATTTGGTACGTGAATTTTTTAGTCTTCTGACAACAGAAGTGGGATCTCAAAATTTGAAAAAAATGACAAGAAGCTGAAATTATGTAAAGAATTGATGCGATTTATCGCACGTCGCCCTAACACAAAAAATGGTGACCGTCGAATCACCTTTAGGTGTATCCAGAGTTCGATTAGGGACAATTCAAGATTAGAGATAGTGCCACCACTGCCACCAGTCACCACTGAGAATTTTACTTCCCTTAGACGATTACTGAAATAATATTCCTCAAATTACAAAAAGCAAATCCGCAAGATGTAGCTTATTTTTTGCTTGATTTTTTGAGCCAAAAATATCGGCAATTAGAGGTACAAGCGCAGAGAAAGTACGGCTGAAACTTTCAGCTCATAGAGGCGGCGGCAGAGCGCGCAACCGAATCCCTCATGTTTTGTCTCTTTCTCTCCTATTGCCGCAATGGGAATTACTTTCCGCTGTAGTCAGGCCCGCCACATCCCATCACGGGCCCTGGTGCCAGTTTTAAGGTCCGGGCCCCAAGCACGGAGGGAAGGGGGGGGGTCCGAGGGGCATCCCCCGAGAAATTTTAGAATTTATACGACTAATCGGACGCATTTTGAACTTCCATAAAGAATTTTTCCATCAATTTCTGCGGAATAATTGTGTTTTTTTTTCTACCTTCAGCACAAAATACTTGCGAATTGTTGCATTCAAAACATCTGGAAAATTTTTATTTTTTTTTTGGGGGGGGGCATATGATACTATTTTCAGTTCTAAGAGGGCCAGGCCCCCCTGGACTCCCCCTTCGCGCGTTTGTCTTTGGCAAGGGAGTTGCGCCATGAGCCATTGAAGTCGAGGATGCCCAGACTGGAGACTCTTAGTATCTGACGACGGAAGAAAATTAAACACAGTTACCAAAAATATCCCTCTGTACTGAAAATCTTGAAAATAGATAGAAATTTTCCAAGAAGTATACTCCTTTGAAAATTTAAGAAGAATTCTACAGTGCCCCAGCGTGTTCCTGAAAATCTATTCACCTTTTGCTAAATTTTTAGGGTAAATTGTTCACTTTTTCTTACGAAACAAAGGTTGCATGTGAATTCGTAGTGGTTTCTCACGGGTAACATGGGCCTCCTCCGGGGCCCGGGCCCCGGTACCAGGACCCGGTATCCCCCCCCCCTTCTGGCGGGCCTGCCTTCATGCACGCTGGGCTTGTCGATTTCCTCTGAAATTTATGCAGTGGTGAATGCATAGCTGAAGTGCGCCTCAGCTAGAATTGTATTTACAAATGGGTGGTTTTTCTACGAGGATTAAAAATAAACAAGTGGCACGGAATATAAAAAAGAATATGAACTATACAAAACGATAATCCGGGTACCGGAACTTGGCTGATTTGAAAACGCCTTCAAATGCGGTGTGATACCTCACGCATTCCGGAGAGTTCAAATAGTTGTATCATTGCGCCGTATGAACGTGACGGAAGATTTAAATGGAAATAGCCTTGTAGTCACGATTTTATTTTTAGGAATTTTGAGAAGATTTTTTTACTGAGTGTTCCTCAAGTAAGTTGCTATATCCCCTGGATCCCCAATCTTGAATAAGTATCACGGTTTTTATTATTTTGGCAAATATATACGGCTTTCCTGAGCAGCGCGACGTGGTGGCCATATCGCATAGTTCTAAGCCTGGATTCAATTCAACGTACTGCCGTGATAGCGAAGAGAGCCGTAATGGGCCTGTTGCAAACTTTTGCTAGAGCAAAACTAAGAGTTGTTTCCTGCAGATAATGCCCCAAAAATCACGATGAGCGCATCGCAAAGTCTGAAATGCACTCATAACTTCACAATCTGCGTAAGATATTTGCGGTTTTTTGAGCTTCCCGCTTCGGAAACGATACTACGGTACAGGTGAACATTTTGTTAGAGGAGTCGTTCCATTGGCGACAATACTCATCATGGCCGACGCCAGTCCGCCAAAATACGTGTGATGGGACGAGATAACACCTGAACAGGATTAAACCATAACAATCGGCGTGTTTACGTTCATATTTTCCTCGCCCGCCTTAATTGACCTTGAACTCTCCTCGAATTACGTGAGGAACTGCGCAAGCGTCGGCCATGATGAATATTGCCGACGATGGAGCGACTCCTCTAACAAAATGTCCACCTGTGCAGTAGTATCGTTTTTGAAGCGGGAAGCTCAAAATAACGCAAATTTCTTACGCAGATTGTGAATTTATGAGTGCATTTCAGACTTTGCCGATGCGCTCATCGTGATTTTTGAGGCATTATCTATAGGAAACAACTCTTCATTCTGCTCTAGCAAAAGTTTGCAACAGGCCCATTGCAAAAATGAAGTTTTGAGAAAACGGGCTCAGATGCTTCTGACAAGAACATTTTATTGAAAGAAGCCTCCGTTCTGTGTCAAATTGCCACTAATTGTCCGGAAGACTCCTAGAAATCGTGTGGATGATTAAAAATCGACTGATTTTATTTGCATTACATAAAAAGGGTATTTTTCATTTTCATGCTAGGTTATCGTTAGACAAGACAGCCGTAAGTGCTATCTTCTGCATGTTTTCGTGGTTGCGGTTTGGACGCACAGCAAACACATTTTCAGGATAGAAATTGGCAGAGGAGAGCGGCACTTTACTGGAAAGCACTGTTTTCATTCGCTCTCATGCACCTACGGCTGTCTTGAAAAAAACTATGTCATTTTTTGTGCACTTGCGGCTTTTTTATGCGTCTCGTTTTCATTAAATCAGGATGAATTTTGCTGTTTTAGTTGTCTCAGTAATTTCATCTAAAAGAGTTTAGACGAATTTTGAAGAAAACTCGATTTCGAAAATTTTGCACGTACGGCTCTCTTCGCTATCACGGCAGCGTAAGAGACAAGTAGAGTACCTGGGTATAGTGAGAGTATGGACAGATCGCTTCATGGAGGGCTTAGGGCCCAGAAGTGCAGCCACCGTTCTAACCAATTTCTAACGCACAAAATTTCACTGCCAGTCTGTAGATTCCAATTCTAACGAAGATGGCTAAGGAAGTACATAAATGAGCGTTCTTATACAAAAATGAGTAAATTTATGCAAAAACTAAGTCAAATACGTGCTATATAAACGATGGTTCGTAACAATTGTATTAATAAATCGCTCTGGATAATAGAAATTCATAGGTTGGCTGCATTTCTGGGCCCTAACTTTATTCGCGGAGGCATCGGTGAAGGCCTGATGGATTTTCGGAGTTTCACATTTGTCTATACTCTCGCTATACAGGTGCTCTAGAGACAAGGGCGGTACGGGTGGAGTACCTTTATAGACAGAGTATGGCCATTTCTGTTCCGGTTTTTCATTGGTCGCGAGCGAATAGGCTGACACGATGCTCTTAGGGCCGTGAATGAACAAACAAGATGGCTGTTTTCAGCAAGCAAGTTTGAGGTTATGCACATCTTACATCCTCCTGTGATATAGGCGAAAGGCGATTTAACAGTGTTTTCATGTGTTTTTTATGTGTTATTCGTAGATATGCTAATTTAAATTGTTACTGCCGTGTAATTGAAATCTTTGTCAAATTTTAGCTTCTTATCGATGTTACGGTGAGCCGCCATCTTGTTTGTTTATTTACGGCCCTAAGAGCATCATGAAGCCTAAAAACTCGTTGACCAATCAAAAAGCTGCACAGTTTTCCTGTAGTAAAAAGATACGAATGGCCATACTCTGTCTATAAAGGTACTCTATATACAAGTACTCTAGAGACTAGAGTCCCTTTATACTGAGAGTCAAGACAACACCCCTCATGGAGTCACAAACGGGAATAAAGATCACACATATTGAACGTTTTTCGTAATCTTTGATCGGCTCATTCTTGAATTCCTTTCTCCGTTCCTTCTCTCATTCCGTGTGTTCCTTGTCGAACCCGAAATTCCTCGGTCCATTCCAGATTATAATCTTTGCAATTGGTAAAAATGTAATCTTTATTCCCGTTTGTGGCACTGTGAAGGCCTAAAATCCGGCTAACCAATCAGAAATGGATTCGCATTGTCTTGACTCTCAGTATAAAGGGACTCTACTAAAGACAAGGGCGGTACTCACCTGGATGGTGTTGGAGTGCCTGCGGGCGAGGACGGGGCTGGGCGGGTTGGAGGAGGAGGTGGGGCTCCGGAGGGCGGAGGAGAGGGAGAGGTCGGAGCCCTGCCAGGGCCCGGTCGGCGTGGCGCTCGGGTCGTCCTGCGGCGTCGAGGCGCTGAGCGTGCTCGCGACGGACATCATGCTGTTGAAGCGCCCTCCCGAGCCCTGGATCGCGTCCGCCGCGTCCGCCGAGAAGTTGCGGAACATGGCGATGATCGAGTCCGCGCTCGCCGCCTTCTTCGAGGACGCGCCGATGTCCAGGCTCAGCCGCCCCGGCCTTCTCTTCGCCTCACCTGCAAAACACCTTTGTCGCTCAATCCAATAGTCCATCACACCACCGTCCACAGCAAAAGCGCCCTAACTTCACTCAAAATCTTGCATTAAGGTGATTCGATGGACGGCATATTTTGTGTCAGAACGGCATGCGATATATCGCATCAATTGGCTCCATTATTTCAGCTACTCGTCATTTTTCTCCAATTTTGAGATCGCAATTCTGTTGTCAGGAGACTAAAACACTCACTTACCAATTTCAACAAAGAAATTCAACGTAATAAAGGCGTGGTTTTTTCAGAGAGAAAACATCACATTCGATACTGATATCGAAACTGCACTCGAATGCGATGTTTTCTCTCTGAAAAAACCACGCCTTTATTACGTTGAATTTCTTTGTTAAAATTGGTAAGTGAGTGATTTAGTCTCCTGACAACAGAATTGCGATCTCAAAATTGGAGAAAAATGACGAGTAGCCGAAATAATGGAACCAATTAATGCGATATATCGCATGCCGTTCTAACACAAAATATGGCGTCCATCGAATCACCTTAAGCGCTCAGCCGATAGGCAGCACTTTTTGATTTCGACTTGCCTCTGAGTACTAGTATACTATTGCTAATGCGTTTAAATGGCGCACCAGCTCATCGATGTGTAGGCTTTTTTTTTGGGGGGGGGGGTCCATTTTTAAAATAAATAAAGCTGTGAAAACTGTATTTTATGCTTTTAACGTAATGCGCAGGTAGTTTCGATCGTTTGTCTATAAGAAATTTTCTTAGCGGTAGAGTAATTCTTATCGAAATTGATCGTTGAACTCAAATGAAGCCTTTAAAAAAAACGCGCCTGATGAGCTCAACGGTGAGCTCATTTTCGGGAAACAAAAATACGCGTTTACGGTTTCCTTGGTAACCTTTGTTTGATATCAGCTGATGCTTTATTTCCGTTTCCCAGTCAAGTCGACGGAGTTTATACTTCCTTTCTCCACTAAATACATTTACTAACACCTGAGCGCTTTTCTAATACGACAGTATTAGAACTTTCCCGCTTGTTTTTCCCCTGCACGTACTCTGCCAGGCTAAAGAAACACACCGTATGAGCCTTCAGACGTTGTCAAATTTCCTTTGATAAAATACGAATTTCCCAGTAAACTTATGAGTATTTTCCCTCTAATTTTTCAAACAAGTTTGTTCGCAACTTTATCTGAAGTTTCTGAAAATCTCAATAGAAAATATCTATAGCGTTCCTCAAAAATAAACATTTTATCGAAGAAAATTTGGCCACTCTCGAATGTTCATACGGCGTTCTTCCTGTTTTTCGCGGCAGTACTGTTCTATTGCGAGAAAATTCAATTGCGAAAAGGCTTCATTTTTACTTTTTAGATCCGAATGGTATGCTGCCGTGCTAAGGAAGAACGCCGTATGAGCATTTGAGAGTTGTCAAATTTCCCTTGATAAAACATGTATTTTTGACGAAATTTAAGCATATTCCCCCCTGAAATTTTCAGGTATTTTAGATTAACTTGCGTACAAAATTGTCTGAAATTTTTCGGGGGAAATATTTACGATTTTACCAGTAAATTCTGTTTTTACCGAAGGAAATTCGGCAACGTCTGAAGGCTCATACGGCGTTCTTCCTTAGCACGGCAGTACGGCGATGGTTTATCAAAATCACGAAGGATGAATATTTGTTAGGTTCTTTGTAAAACATCATTTTGTCAGAAAAAAATTGAAAAAGTGTTGAAGTGGAGAATGTTTCTTTGGACGGCAAGACAATGCTCCCGTTCCATGTCCATCAAAAGTTCCGGGATTTGGAACTTTCCTGTTCCGATTTCTCGCACTCCGTAACCGTCAAAAGTTCCGGGGTTCCTTTAAGATTTTTTCAACAGTTCCAAAAAAGTTCCGGAAAATGCAGAAGATCCGGCATATTTTGAGAATTTCAAAAGTTCCGGAAAAATTCAGGAAAATCTCAAAAGTTTCGGGATTCAGAACTAGTTCCGGGAAATGAGAGCACTGGCCTAGGAGGTCACTATTGGAGGGTATGGATTCGATCGGCATGTATCGATCCGACGTGAACCGATGGATAAAAACATGATCCGATCAACGTGATTCATGGATCGAACGACAAACCTGTGAATTGATCGAGGAGAGCCGTGAGACGATTGACAAAACCCGTGCATTGGTCGACATATCCCGTGCGTCGATCGAAAAATCTCGTGAGTTGACCGGCAAACCCCGTAAGTCGACCAACAAACCCGTGAATCAATCGAATTACGTCGATCGCTCCACGTTTTTCTTTGTCGATCGAATCATGTCGATTGGTTTACATTTTTACTTTTCGATCAATTCATCTCGATCGATTTGTCGATTGTCGATCGTTTCATGTCGATCGATTCACGTTTTTATTCTCCGGTCGATTCATGTCGATCGAATCCTTGCCCTCCGCTGTCATTTTGGTGTCCTATTCCAAAATGGACAATTTTTTTAAAATCGACAGAACTTTCCACCCTAATCAAAAAACTCATTTTAGCCTGACCGGACACGGGAGAAAACTTTGGACTGTATAGACATACCGTCAGTTTTGGGCGCAGAGGCCAAAAGTTCCGTGTGCTAGAGCCGTAGCTTCGATTGCTTTGATTGCTACACCCGGAACTTTCGGCCTCTGAGTCCAGTAAGCGGACGGTGTGTCTATGGAACGCATAGCGCCTACAAGACTGCATGAATACTTCACGCATTGCGCCAAACACAGTGCGGTCGGCGCAGCGCCGGAAGGTATAAAATTATTAAACCACATTTACGTTTGTTCTTTCATTATTTTTTCGTCTGTTTGTCATGAATGGAAGGCTTTGTCCAAACAGGGATGGGTTTACGGAACTTAATTTTCGCGTAAAGTTCCGTAAAATTTTGTTAGTGTTGACAGGGCTTTCATAAAAAATGTGCCCTACACGAGTAAAAGCGTCTCATACACTCCTTCCCCACCGGCACATTCACTTAAAGAATAAGAAGGGGACGGAAAAACACAGGCGGCACATGGGCAGCAAGTAGGTAAATCTAGCCCTGCTTAATTTTACTGTAGCAAAAGTTTGCAATAGGCCCATTCCTCTGTAAAAAAATAAAATGGTGGCAGAAATTTTTGAACGCCGCATGGCGCTTGTGATACTTTGGCCGGATGGGTGACAACATATAAATTGTTGGGACATTTTTAAAGTAGGAGATACTTTACCTTTTGCGGAACCATCGCTGTGCGTCCAAGCCAAATCGGCGGCCGGATCTTTGGTAATCTGAACAGTATCCTCCGAACCAGAGCTGATCTCCGTCGATACTTTACTCAGTAAGCGAGCGAACGTCACTTTCTTCTCTAGTTTGTTGTTTCCTACAACAAAGAAGCGAACATTTGTCACAAATTGTATCCAGTTTAAACATCTCTCTGAGTATTTAATTCAATATCTGAGCGCAAAAAACTGTGAGAAACATTCAAGTGTTTAAGCCACCTTCTTATGATAATTTAAAATCCTGGAATATTCAGTTTTCGCGGGAACTGCTACGGAATATTATCAGGCAATTCTAACTATAAAAACACATTATGCTAATTCAGATTGTGGCGCTTGTTCTGCTGGAAGAAAATTCAGCCTGCCCTCTAATTTATGTGAATATATCTCTATGAAAGAGAGTAAATGTGTGAAAGGCCTCAGAATTTTAACTGGACTTCATATTGAAATTAGGAGCTATAATTTTTTCGTTCAGTTTAGAAAGAGCGTACGTCGGTACGTGCCATTGGTTTACCTTTGCACATAAGAGTTTGTATACAAATAAGCTAGACAGTTTCTAATGGCAAAATGTGGTCCAATGAGCACATCCAAATTCAGTGTTTCCTAATTTCCTTCCATGTTTCATTTTATTTTATTTTTTACAAGAAAACTGAGCAACACAACACCTTGCAACCTTCCGTGAATATTCTGGCGAATATAAAAATAAGTTTCATGGCAAAATATTGCTCATTCCTCTTGTTAAAAATAATGTAATATATGAATGAAAATAATAACATAATATTATGAGAAAAAAATCGAGTAATGGCTGATGTTGTTAGTCTGATTCTGGCTACAGTGGGATGGCATACATTGCGATAAATCGATTGATCCTCCATTTAAACCTGTGGAAAAGGATCGATAAACAGGGTGTTCGTAACGAACACCTTAATAATCGATTCTTTACCACGGCTTCAAATGGGGGATTATCGATAATCGACCGTTCATCCTTCGCCACTGTCTGGCTATATGTCATCCGATAGGGATTTAAGGTCGTTCATCCTCTTATGAGATACGTGGTTTGTTTAATACTCTGTACTCATAAATATTACGGCTCTGCGAAAGCCACTACCGTTTGCTTAACGTGTACAAATGACACCTGTAGAATGTACCTTTCGAAGGAAATAAACACAAGAGTGTCATTTGTATCATTTTCATAGATGATTTTTTTTCCCCCAAGGAAGATTTTTTCATTATTTTCAAAGATGAAGACATAAAAAAAAAATCAAAACTACGAGCAGGCAAGAAAAAAAGTGCAACGGTGCTTTTCTAAAACTCCAGACCTATAATTTACCTACGTAAATGTACTATCTGACTTTCGATTTTTTTTATTGCTATGTTACCTGCTCATCGACATAACTAGCTTCCAGATTATCCAAGATGTGTCAAGTTATATCAGTTTTAGTACTTCCTATAATAGGTATTAAAAAAATCATTTACTGTTGCTACTGTACAGTAAATATACATTTACTACAATTGTTTGAATTAAATAAGAAGTAAAGCAGAAAAAAACGTGCATGCAGGCGGTTCCAAACAGCGGTAAAATAAAAGTATAGCTGTAGACGGGAGAAGGGATCTTGAAGTCAGCAAATTGAACATTGAAGTGATATTACTAATACATAGAGAAGTGTCCCGGGTATATATTGACACGCAACTACCCTTAACACCTTCGAAAAATTACGTAAGGCTTGCGGAACGTAAAATCTGGTAAGCGCCATCAGCTGTTGCAAAGATCGTGTCGTGAAATTGACCTCATTACCATTGGCGGATCCACCAAATTGGCAACATTGTATTTTCTCCATTTAAACGTATGAAAATGTATCGATTCTTGGAGGGGCCAGGTGCTCCGATAAGAACCGATTATTTAGCATAGGTTTAAATGGAGGAAATCCGGTGTTGCCAAATTGCTGGATCCGCCTCTGCTCATTACCGTTTGATAAAAAGCTCTTGCCGAAAGAGAGCGTATGACTGTTATGCGGGGGATGATTCCACTATTCAACTACGTGGTAGCCTGTTTTCCCAACACTAAAAATTGAAGGCAAACTCATACGACGTTTAATGGAGATGTTGCATGTGTGAGGGATTTGCGATTTGACTGCTGTTTCCTATGTAAAAGTTCGCGAGAAACACGATGGTGCCACTGGTTTTCTCTGAAATCAACTCCCAAGCGCAAAAAAGCTCTCAAAGTGAGGCCAAAATGGAGGGGATATCCCATCCTACCCTGAGAGTCCACCTCTACATCAAAACAAACTCTCCATGCAAAGATAGGGAGCAAACACATTGACAGGGCTGCCACTTCATTTGGGGACTCCAAAACTGAAAACACGGCAACCCTGCTAATGTATTTGCTCCCTATCTTTGCATGGAGAGTTTGTTTTGATGTAGAGGTGGACTCTCAGGGTAGGATGGGATATCCCCTCCATTTTGGCCTCACTTTGAGAGCTTTTTTTGCGCTTGGGAGTTGATTTCAGAGAAAACCAGTGGCACCATCGTGTTTCTCGCGAACTTATACATAAGAAACAGCAGTCAAATCGCAAATCCCTCACACATGCAACATCTCCATTAATCTTATTTTTGGAAGAAAGCTATTTTCCAGGTTGTTCTGAGTAAGCGTGACAACTCGTGACGATACCACTATCCAACCACGTGAGAAGTCGTGTTGCTTACACAGAAATGGTGTTCTTCAATCTTCATCAGTGTTCTCACTCATTTCCATAAGAAGATTTGTTATTTTCAGGACATTGAATTCCTGATACAGGCCAGAAAGAGTTGCTTGTTCTCAGCGACACCTATTGGCGCTTACCAAATATTGAATTTTCATTCTTCAAATGTATTTTGTGCATACGAAGAAAAATAGATCAGTACGACAAGAAAAATGTTCCTTGTCGGAAAAGATTTCAGTGTCGCATGAGCCCATAATAATATTGTGTTACCTCTCTGGTAATTAGTCTTGTCGTGATGAAAATATATCTTGTTATGAAAAATAAGAAAAGAGTTTTTTCGTTGTACCTACGAAAGATGATGAAGAGAAGTTATTGGTCAGCAACGTTTTCTCATGGGCTCATATATGAATCCACTCTTTCGTGACAAAGAAAATACTCTTTATCAGAGAGATTTTTCTTTTCAAGCAGGTGCTTTGCGTTACAGAAGGCAGCGTCTCCCCCGTCCNTTTCCCCCCCCCCCCCTAAGGCCATGAGCCCTCCACCCCCCTCCGTTAGTTATTTCAAGCAATTTATGGACGGTCCATTTTTCCATGGATGGATACATACGTATAAACCTTTGATGTTTCAGTGCGTCCACGGTTGAAGGACTTCTATAGCTCAAACAAAGAAAATGACTCAAATTAAAAGCGAGATAAGTAAAAATTAAATTTTCAATAAATTAATGTTTATAAATAAACTAGTACGAGTTTAGTAGAACAATTCAATTTTTTTGAACTGGAATTCCAGAGAGGACATAATTCCCAACGACTTCTCTACTCAGATAGGTGCTACCGTGAACGTTCCTTAGCACCGTCTCTTTCTGGTGCTGAAAGTATTTTTTAAGTAGTCGGGAATCAGGAATTCTTATAATTTCCCACTATTTTACTTTTGAGAGTTGGTAGATCTGGTCCGAGAAAGTAGATTTTACACCGAGTAATTGGTCGACCCACATCCGACCATGTCTTTCATTATAATTTTCCAATTATTTGATCTTGGATAGCTGAGAACGTTAAATTGAGCCCTAAACAAAATGCCTGTCACCAAAGCAAAAAAAGAGGGTTGATGGATCTGTAGATTTAGAGGCCCCCGACCCCCTCTTCATGTCCATGAAATTACTTCCAAGAAGACATTGCTTGACAATGTTCGCTGACTTTGTTCCAAGAAGAGGTGATCAATGGCGAGGCGTGAATGATCGAATATCGATATTTCCCCGTTTGAAGCTATGATAAAGAATCGATTGTTAAGGCGTTTGTCGATGTTATTGATTCTTTTCTATTTATTAAAATGGCAGATCGATCGAATTATCGCGAAGCACGCCACGCCACTGGAGGTGACTCTACCAGTTTCCTCCCTCTTTTTGAGATCTTTTCATGATCAATTTCTGGTGCCACTACCCAGCATATTTATGGCAAGAAGCAACGTGTTGAAGTCTCTGCTGTTTGGTTTTCTTTTCTTCTTGGAAAACACCAAAATTATTGGGGGAATATGAATGAACGTCAATTATTGTTTGAATTTCTCACAAAAAGGTTTCCTAGGAACATGGAGGTAACAATTCAGTAAGAAATTTTAAACAATTATGCTAGCTAATTTTTCTTGAAAACATAAAAAAGAACAAGAAATATGCAACGATACGAATCAAGAAGCGTATTTTTCTCCACAAAAAAAAAATATTTCCATTGCTGCCGTAATAGAGCAGTAAGTGCATTCGGGTATGAGCCTCGAGACACATAAAAACATGTGCGAATCATAGCTCATTCAGTAATGCACTTACTGCTCTCTTCGCTATCCCGGTAGATTTGCTAATTCTCTTTTGGCATGAAAGTACGTTAATCGTCTGATACGTGAGTTTGAGTTATTACATTGTCAAAAGTCCTTAGATTCGGCAGAATCAGTAATTTTTCCTACAAATCCCCAAATTCCCCAATAAATTCTTACTCTCTCAACAAATCTGAGAATTCCATCACTAATTTCTAAAGTCTCGAGAAGTATTTTATTGTTCACGATCATTCCAAAATATAAACCATTAGATTTTTGGAGTTCCCAAAAATTTCTTAAAAATCGCCGAAACTGGAAACATTTTAGAAACTCAGATAATCCACATATTCCCCCAAACTTCCCGAGAACTTGTTTAAAATCAGTGTCCTCACAGAGTTCAATAAACCCAAAATTTCTCTGGAATCCCAATAACTCAGAAACTCTGAAGAAATCTCGACATTTTTGCAAAATCTTACCATGCGGCTGGAGGAATTGGAAGGACAAAAGCATGCAGAATCAGCTTAATTGCATTGCGCGTGGCATAATTTCCTCCCAAGTCTTATTTTTATAACATGAAACTAATCAATGAAACGCATTCAACTTTTACGCGAATTTTCAGAGGCTACGATGTAGGTACTCACACCATTCTAAGTTGGAATATTCCTTACTTCTCTGTGAACAAAATAGAGCATGAGTAGAATTTGGTGATGTCTGCCGATGCACGGCTGCTTTTTGAGTATTATACGTAAGGCGCACTTTGGTTGACTTTTTGACCTCCTTTCCGTAAGACACACTCCCTCCCCCTCCTTTTGAGTTGCTTAAGACCCTCGCGCTTTGACTTTTCTCATAATATATATGAAAAATAATTAAAAATAGTTTGAAGAATTATTTTAATCGGAAAATATTACTATTAAATTTTGTTTGTTTTTCTCGATGAGCTTACATAAAACTGGGCCAAACTCCCTTAATCCTCTTCATCCTGGTAAGACCAAGACCCTAAAATGCATGCACTCTCAAAACCCTCCCATTCCCCTCAAGGAGAATGCGTTATACTTGAACATAGGCTGATTCTGGTTTAAATCCTTCCAATTCTGGAAAAAATAAGAATTAAAGCAAACGCAATAAATCTAGAAAACAACTCTACATTCTGCTAACCTATGAAACGCGTGATGTCAAGACACCTCGAACAACTATTGTTCTATCACATACTCTATACTATATTCTATAATACACTGTTCTATATGTAACTCTTTCGGGCAAGTTAACTACACGAAACGTCAAGAAACTATTCTAACTAATTTCACTATGAACGAAAGCTAATGTCAGCTAGCTCTACAAGCACTATAAGTTACCCGTCGACGGAGTGTTTTCGATGAAAGACGTTTCTCGCAAGTTAGAATTACTTGATGCATTAGTTTCTGTTAAATTAATCACCTCCGTGCTTTTAGTTTTCTGTGCATGTTTGTTAGGGGCGATTAGTTGCTGAAGTAAGTGTTTCTTCTCGGACGTGTTTTTTGTAGAAGTAGAATTGGTTCTTTTTGGGCGAGGTGAGGTCGTGCCTACAAAACCAAAAATTCACACATGTCACAACACTGAGAAAGGTGCGCCTCGCCAATAACTATAGTGTGACTTCGTATCCCTCGGGTAATGTAGATCCTGAGAGATTCAATTACTACATCAGAGGAAGAACAAAAACGAAAATTCTTGTAGCAAGGCTCGAGTATTTCGAAAAGAGACACATATCAGATGATTTTCTAAAGATTTTGAATAGATGTGCAAGTTGAAGGAACGGAACATCAAACATAGAGGCTATTTTTGGAGTTAATGGGATAAATTGTCGTAGATTCTTGACTGCGTTCAACTTTAGGTTTGCACAGGCACTTCGACTATTGAAGTAGGCATATCGATTTTATCATAGTAAATTGTGAATATTGAATAATGCATAAAATTTCTATCCAAGTTTCAGACTTGCTAGTCGAAAAAAGAAGCAACTCCTTCTCAGCCTCTTTAAAAGTAGCTGCAAATTGACTCTGGTAGAATGTGCGAGGGGAAACTTTAAACTTCCATCAAAAGTATTTTACATTCCATGCTTGAATAATTGCAGAATATTTTAGAGCAAAATGTTTTATTTTTCCCTCACAGACACAAATGGAATTGCCAGGCGCCGAACTGCCTTTGTTGGAAAAGGTAACTCCCCTAGCGATGGTGTCTACTATATCTAAGTTCTACTAATTATATCGTTCTCAGCCTCTTCACGATTTATGTTGCTAAATCCCCAGGTCGACATCGGCGGATCCCGTGAGTTGGCAAAAGTGACATTCCTCCATTTAAACCCGTGCTTAGTAATCGATTCCTTTCAGAGCACTTGGCGCCTTCGGAAATCGATGAATTACCATAGGTTTAAATGGAGAGCAAACATTGTTGCCAACTTGGTGAATCTGACAATGCACGCCGATTCTATATGAAAGAGAAAAGTAAACAATGTCATGCCTATGTATCATAATGTACATTTTTCTTTAAGATCCTGCGGAAAAATTCACAGGAAATTTTTTTAATATTAATCTTCATTGCCTAGTTTCCTGCATGAAAATAATAATGAGAAGCAATTGTGCGATAATTAAAAAAGGCTGATTTTTTTTTAAAGCTGTTCAGTTCCAGTTATCATTCAGACACATCTGGTTTTCAAGCGTTAAATTTTTGAAGATTCATCATTGGTGCAAAAAATACGAGCTACTTGGAAATTGTCAAGAATTGTACATTGCACATGAGTATGTGAGAATATTCACCACCAATTTTGCTAAAAATTCAAAACTTTCGTGTCAATCTAACTGAATTTAGGAATCAGTTCTAAACAGTTGGTTCTTTACAAATTTGAGTGGACATTCCTGAAGCAGACTCTACGGTGAGGAGAGGTGGTTTTTACAGGTAGTGGTGGAGGAGGTGAGGAGAGGGGAACACACATGCAACATCTATCATCCATTCATCAAATTATGAGTTTACAGGATGAAGTCACTCTATAGATATTTAATGGGATAAGACTCCAAAATATCTACCAGGGTAACATCAAGGAAAAGAAGGTTCTCGAAAGGCTGTGGGATCTTACGTAATACTAGGCTACGCCCCCTGGCCTTTATGCTGCCCATCCCCCGTGGGCGCTTCGTGCTTTTTAAGGCCCGTTGCGTGGGCATCCGTGAGTTAATCTAAATACGGCGGGTTCATCTAGGGACTATCTCTTGTTGATAGCCGCAAAAATCATGAAAATCAGCCTCGTATAGATTACTGTGAAATATTGAAGGTACAAAATAGAATGTTCAAGAAGGAAAAAGGCAAGAGAGAATGTCTTTTTCTTTCTAGATTATAATGGGGAAAAATGTCAAGTAAGTAATTACATTAGACCCTCGGTGAAGTACTTGAAAGCTTCGAAAATATGATAATGTTATGCTGTGATACTCATGAAAGATATTTGTATTAGACAAACTTTTCTTGGGGTTTTTAATTTTGGATTCAAAAAAGAAAAAGTGAGAAGGGAATCAAATCTACTGGATGAGACGAACTTTTCTTATTGATGAAGAAAAAAAAAGAAACATTCAAACCCGAGTTCAGGTTTTTTGGGTGCAAAATATCACACTGATGTTTACCTATAGCTATGTTAAGATATCGGACGACAAAATCGATTATCCAGGTGTGTATTGGTGAAAAATTAGCCAAAAAATTGATCTCTTAGGCACTTTGGTTGGTGAAAGAATAAATAACGTGAAATGCGTGTAACCCTGCTAAATTCATATTATAATATGCTGCACAGTGGGACTCTAAAAGCTGCTGATTTTGTCTATAGGCTCCTGTGTTGTGTATAAATATACGTACAGGATGGGCCGAAAGTTCCGGCTAACTCTTGAGCGGATGCAGTGGTGCACCTAGTGAGGTAAAATTTTGAGGGTGTTTCTAGGTCATTAAAGACTACTTTAATTCTCACTTCCTCTCGTATGTAAAATTTCATGGGTCTGCCCCCGGGAGCCTGTACGGACACTTTGACTGAAAATTTTCAAAAGGTCACCCTTTTTTTGATGCGTTATTTAAAAGAAGATAGAAAAAGAAAACTTTGAGCACATGTCTAAGATCTTTTTAACTTTCCGTTCCCGAGATATTTACAGTTAAAGTTTGAAATGGTCCTGTTTCTAAAAATTCACCGGTGCCATTTAAAATTTAGAGGAACGAACAGGAGATTTGCATTATTCATCTTAAAAATACTTTTGAGGAAAAATCATAAAATTTAACGTTATTCGATTTCAGGATGGTATTAGAGGCCTCAAAAATTTGAAAATTTGGGTCAAACCTTGTCGTTGATAGTAGTTCCTCGCAAGTCTCGACCGCTGAACAGAGGTTACTACCTCTGCACGCGCAGGGGAATCGTGATTGCATTTGATCAGCTGCACACTTTCTTTATCTTGAGATGTCAAGCGGAGATTTTCGGTTGATGCAACCAAAAATATGGTTGATTGACCAAATTTTTCGGGTTGATCCGACACAAAGTAAGTGAAACGAAAGAGCATGGTCTTCCTCTATTCGAGCACCCAAAATCGACAAAACGCTCCGTTCCGTTCATTTCCTTTCAACATGGACTCGTACGTTAAAAGAAAATGCCGATTTTCTTATATTCGACTCTCCTTGGTCCAATCGCATTTTTGGAGGGGGCCATCATACCAATCAGAAGCGGATACTGCAATCTTGGTCAGGGCCGGATTTACCTACTTGCCGCCCATTGGGCGCCTGTATTTTGCCGCCCCTTCGCATTCGTTTTGAAACATCTATACAAACCATCAAGTGAACGTGCTAGAGAAGAAGGGGTGCATTAGACGCGTTTACTCATGTTGGACACATTTTTTTTGTGAAATCCTTGTGCGAAATGCGAAATGTTCACGGAACCTAATATGCGCGAAAATTATGTTCCGTTAACCTATCTCTGCGTGGACGAGGCCTTTCACTTCTACGAAAAGATCGAAAAATTATGAAAGAATAAACATGAATGTGGTTTAATGATTTTAATTTCCGCCATCGCGCCAGCAGCACCGTGTTTGGCGCGATGCGTGAAGTATCCCCACAGTCTTGTAGGCGCTATGCGTTTCACGCCGACCGCTGCTGACCGCACTACGTTTGATGCAGTGCGTGAAGTATTTATGCAGTCTTGTAGGCACTATGAGTTTCACGCCGACCGCTACTGACCGCACTGTGTTTGACGCAATGCGTGAAGTATTCATGCAGTCTTGTAGGCGCTCATATGTGTTATATGCCAACCGCTGCACCGAGGGCTTCTCCTTTTCATCTCAAGTCCTCGTCATCATTCTTCTCTACGCCGCGCCGCGCCGCGCCGCTCCGGGCCAAATTGCGTGTTTGATTTCTCTCTCAACTAGACTAATGAAAGGCGCTGTCTCTTGTATCACCGAAAGACGAACAAATTAGAAATTACTATACTTTAACTCTCTGGAAATTAGAGTTTTTTTCGCCTTTTCTCGTTTGTAATTTTTTTTATTAATCAGATTGTTTTCTTGATACCTACATTTGAAAAAATTACAACAATTGTCGCCCCCTAAATTTGCCGCCATGGGCCGCGGCCCATGTGGCCACCCCCTAAATCCGGCCCTGAACTTGGCATGTCTTTTTTAGGCTTCCCGCCAAGGCTGGAACTGAATAAACGGAACGGAGCGTTTTGTCGATTTTGGATGTTTTGTAGCCAGACAAAGAGACCCTCCACTGGCCTCTTTGCGACAGGTCGATCGAAACTTTTAGGTACCCTCAGGGATTTAGGAGTTCGTGCTGGACAATTAGATATAAGGAACCAACAGTCATGACCCTTTTTTCAGCTGTTGACCTACCCACCAGGTGGATGATGAGCATTCGGGTTACGTCATGAGCCGAACAAATTTACCAAATTTTGGCCTGTTCGCGAAAATAAATGCCCTACTTGTTGCTCAACATCCACCTAGTAAGCAAATCAACAGTTGAATGTTGGAGTCCCGAAAGTTAAAGCTCCCACCATTGCCAAGTTTTCAATGGAGAGTCTCTTTATTTCTGTTTCAGTGGCGTGGCGTGAATTGCGATACATCGATTGTTATGCCATTTAAACCCATGAAAAAGGATCGATAAACAGGGTGTTCGCAGCGAACACCTTAATAATCGATTCTTTACCATAGGTTTAAATGGCATAAAAATCGATATATCGCAATTCACGCCTCGCCACTGTTCTATTTGTAGCGGAGGAGCCTACCTCCGTTTCACTTACTTTGGATCCAACTGAAAGAAAAAGAACCCAAAGTAACGACAAAAACAGAAATGTTTAACTGTGTAGCTTGGGTCCTTGTGCTCGGTGGCGATTCTTGCAAGTTGGCAACAGTAGCGTGGCGTGAATTGCGATGTTTTGACTGTTCTGCCATTTAAACTTACGATAAAGAATCGATTATAAGGTCTTCGCTGCGGACACACTGTTTATCGATCTTTTTCCATGGGTTTAAATGGCCTAACAATCGATACATCGCAAAGCGCGCAACGCCACTGATTGGCAACACTGTTCAGTCTCCATAAAAATGTATGGTAATCATTCGATTTTGAGAAAGGCAACATGTTCACCTGGAATCTACATATCTCAGGCAATTCGTTAAATCAGGCTTTTGTCAAATGCTTGGGCAAAAAGTCACATTTTGACAATTTATGAAAATATGTAAATATAGTACGGAGAAACCTCGCGAGTTTTCCATATTTTAGAAAAAATGACTCAGCAAATCCACGAACTCTCCTTTTTCCTTCCTCTTCAAATACTTTTCAAAAATTTACATTTCGAAATTTTAAAAATTCTGCGGTTTATGCCACACTGTAAATTTCAACATAAAAGTTCGCTCAGGAGCTAAAAACCGCTAAATTCTACCGGTTAATTCTTGAAACTAAATTCTTATATGCAAAATTTTTCACATAAATTTCCTTTTTACAAAAGCAATGAATTATTTTGTCTGGAATTAGTAAAAGAATTACAATATCAATCCAACAATGAGTGAGAATATTTGCCAGTTTGCCTAGGCATTTGCTAAACATGGATTTAAATGGATTACGAAGAGTGTTGCCAGTTTGGTGGGATGGCCACACTGCCGTGCAAAGGAAAAACGCCGTAAAAACATTCGAGAGTTGCCAAATTTCTCCGAATAAAACATGAATTTTTCAGGAAAGTCATGCTTATTTTTCCTTGAAATTTTCAGATACTTCAGATTAAATTGCGGGCAAAATTGTCTAAATATTTTCAAAGAAAGTGTTATCAATTTTCCCGGTAAATTAGTCATTTATTGAAGGAGATATGGCAACGCCGGATGGCTTATACGGCGCTTTTCCTTAGCACGGCAGGACTGGTGGCGTTGGAGTATGTACATTGGAGTCGGGGGTTGGCCGGGGTGGTTTGGTTTGGAGGTCGGCGAAAACGAGCAAGAGCTACGACAGACGTGGATGCAGGTGCTTCACATAAGACACACGGAACGGACAAGAGGGATGAGTAGTAAGGGGATGGGCTTATCTTACTTTTCGGAGAATGCTTTAAAAGATCGTCCAAACTAAAGGTTCTATTTGTCTGTAACGGACTGGTTAGACTGAGCAAGGAGGTTTTGCGAATACCGAGTCTATCAAAGATCGTACGTGGTGGTGCCGCGCCTGCGTGGGCGGAGTTGGGGGTCGCCCCCCCGGCAGCCCCGCCCCCGCTCCCCACGCCGGAGCCCACCGCCTGACCCAGGTTCGCCCGCACCGACGGCACTCTGCACGAAGACGGGTTCGCATCTGCAAACATCACATTAAACATCAATTAAGACTCGGAAAACACAACAATGAAGAAGCAATGCATCGCTAGACAGGCTCAGGATTCACCGTAGTAGCATCGATTGTTGAAAAACCTCTTAAAAAGCTAAGGACGCCTTCACTTTCGTGCGTATGCAACACGGACGTCTGTGAAACCCGAATATTTGCATCCAGGCTTTATAGTGAAATTTGCTCAGTATTCTTCCGTGCTGAGGTAGAATGCCATATGAGCCTTTAGACGTTGCCGAATTTCCTTCGATAAAAACCGAATTTACTGAGAAAATTGTATTTTCCCCCAAAATTTTCAGGCAACTTTGTTTAAATTATACAATTTTATCACCCAACTTGGCAACCCTGAAGTGGTTGTACCACCAGCCAAGCGCCTCCCTGACCGAGTTAAAAATGTATACATTGGTAGGTCATAGGTCATTGACCCTTCAAAATGATTGGTGTTGATGCTGACACAATGGCACACTGACCAAGTTCCACACTGGTGGGTCATTGACCCTTGAAGACGATCGCTGTTGATCGCGGGAATTTCGCATTGTTAAAACAATGACATAGTGACCAAGTTCCACACTCATGTATAGAGAGGTCATTCACTCCTGCAGTTTCTCACTGCTTGTAACATGCCGACCGCCATAAGGTGACCAAAAACAGGGCACGGCAGGGGTATTTCTAGCGGGATGATAATTGAAATTGAACGTACTTCTGCCAAACGAAACTATGTACATTAAGACAAGAGCCATGAATTTCATGAGAATACGTACATAACAGGGCTCATACGTCATAATGCACACAGTTCCAATTGATAGACAAAGAAGACAAACGGGCATTGTAGTTGAAGTTGAATTTCTACGGACGATTTGTTTTGGGCGGAAAATCCAGATTCAAGACTAGAAAGAGCAATGCAATCAGTCGATCACATTTTACTTGCTACCGATACATTCGAGTTCATTCGAGGGATTTATCTCAAAATCGGGTTTTTATTTATTTTTGGCGAGGGATTTATTTTTCATTTTATTTTTTTCCTTTCGAGTAAGTTTTTGGAACTTTTTGGTGATTATTATCTTAGTGGACCTTGGGAATTCATCAAAGGCTTTTGCCTATCTTATACTTGATTAAAAGGAAGTGACACGTCAATTTCCTCGACCGGATTTTTTGCCAGAAAAATGTTTTTGAGGGTTTTCGTAACTGACGGCGTTTTTGTTTTCTCTTTACCTTAGCTTTATGCCAGCGTTGCCTATTATGCCGATAACGTGCGCTGCTTTCTATCGCGACATCGTCAATTTTTTTTTAAAAATGCAACGATCATTTAAAAAAATGATTACGTTGTTGCCTTCAAAATCGAAAAAAAATAAAGGTGAGCATGATTTGCAGAGTTTCCGTCGTGGTCCATCGTTCTCTTTTTTCATGTTTTTCCCTTTAAGGAAAATATACATTTGACGTTTAAGTGAGAGATTTTCAAAAGACCGTTCAGATTAATCTTAGGGAATTTCGAACAAAAACGATGACCATTCATCTTGGGAAAAAAAAAAAAAAAAAAAAAAAAAAAAAAAAAAAAAAAAAAAAAAAAAAGGAAATCCGTAACATTACGAGTCTTAATAAAGGTATATTATTTTCCAGTTTCAATGGCGATTGAGGGTATATTATGTCTAGTAAATATGTTTGTGAAAACTACTAGAATACTAGAAGAACACAGAGTGCTAAAAGGAAATTTTCCGCTCAAAACGCGAATAAGCCCAATTTCTCCAAGTTCATTTATGCGCTTACGACTCTCTTCGCTACAACGGCAACGCATTAGTTGATGTCCATAGAGAAAAAAAAAGGAGGTGTTTGTATCTTAAGGATAGTGTACCCTATGACGTAGGTCGATACAACCTGGTCAGCACAATCCGGAATTCGAAGTATGAAAAACGGACCATAACGTCCGACTTTTTTGCTTAAATTAACTCATGATATAATTTTAAACTCTTTATGTAGAATGCATTTTCTCCATAAACTACACCATTTCCAAAAATATGGATGATAAAAGTTGCCGTGCCGACCTACATTATCAAAAAAAGTTCAAAGCACCTCCCTTTTTTCTCTATGTTGATGTCCACCGAAGAGGAGGAAACGATAAGAAACTCACAGCGTCTGTTCCGATCGGCTTCCTCTGCGAGGAGCTTCTCGAGTTTCTCCGGCAGATGTCGCCTGCAGCACCAGAATGTACCGATGATGCCCATAACGACGAAAACAGTGATGAGCCCCAGCCAGAAAGGCTCCTGAAGCATGCGTTGGTGCAGCGGCTTGAATGGGATGTGGATCAGCCGCCGTTCGCACCGAGGACCTGTCAATAGAAAATAGTCTATATAAAATTACTATAGTCAAAACAGGATAGGTATCTCCAATTGCAAATTTTTGCTTGGCCTCTATTCTTTAGAGAAAGTAAGCCAAGAGTCTTTCTTAAAATTTTTGGGGAGTTGTCTTTTATTCAAAAAAATTCTCAAGGAATTCATGATGTTTTAATTAGTTCTTTTTTCGAAAAAAAAGCAAAAAATAGATTTTGAAACGATTTAATCGAGAAAGGTGTTATCCTTTTCAATTTTACAATTGGAATGCCACCTGTACAGGGTGTCCCCGGATAAAATTGCCAGACTGCAGAAGCCTATTGTATTAGTCAAAATAAAACTATTTTTCTGTAAAATTATTTTTTCACACGTACTTTCATCCGGAACAATTTTCCTTTTTTGGAAATAGTTTTTTCTGAAATTTCTGGATCTGAGTAGTTGACGACTGGTCTATTGATCAAACAGAATAAGTTTTTGAACGAAGTTTGATAGATGAATCTAGAATTATATTTATTGACGGAGACATTGATGAAACAACAAACCTTCCTACCAAGCATGACAGCGGCATGGGAATGTGGTTCCGCTGGTGTATCGATTGAAAATCCCTAGTTCCCTATTGCTAAATCAATCTACCTTTGAGGGCCTAACCTGAATTGCGTAACGCACTTTTTCGGTACTTTTGACCCCCCCCCTTTATTTCCCCTTGTAACGCTTTTATGACTTAGGCCCCTACCCTGTAACACCTGAAAACAAAATAGCGCTACGCTCTCTTCGACTCCTCTCCCCTCAAAGAGCGTTAGTAATTTTGGGACGGCCCCAAGGTTAGATAGATTGATGTAAAATTTGGAATTAGATTTATTGACGCAAACAGTGATGAAAAATCAAACCTTCCCACCAAGCGTGACAACGGCATGAAAATGTGGTTTCGCTGCGCTCCACGCACTCTCCTCGCCCTTCGCAAGGGTTGTCGGCGCAAGGTCTGTTTTTAATGTCGCAGTTGGCACCCCTGTACCCGGGCTGGCAAACACACTGGAAACCAGAGGGCGAAAGCTCACACTTCCCGAACAAGCACGGCTCCAGGTCGCACATCGTCAAAGCGCAAAACATCCCTGGTAAATGAAATCAAGGAGTTAACTCATATTCGAAAAAATTCTCTTTTTTAATTATTGTGTCGGTGAAAGAGCTAAGAATGGATCGTGTGCAGACTTCCAAGCTTCTGGGGAGGAAAAAAAATCTGCACCTTCAAATCCAGTGGTGATTCTTAAGAATCAGTAACACTACTTTTCCTCCATTTAAATGTATGTAAAGCAATCGATTCTTATTGAGGCAGCTTGTCGTGACGAGGCGTGCTTTGCGATCCATCCATATTTCCCCATTTGCAGCTGTGGTAAATAATCGAATATTGGTGTTCGCTGCGAGCACCCTGTTTATCGATACTTTTCCACAAGTTTAAATGGCAGATCAATCGATATATCGCAAAGCATGCCATTGGAGCCGTTAATCTTTGAGTTATTCTATTTGAGCTAAGAAGTTGACGAACTTCTCCATTGTCGAACTCACCTCCGTTGTCGGTTAAAAACTGTTTAATTGTGTGACCTGATGCCTTCGTATGGGCAATCATTTCTTTGAGTTTTTTTTTACCTCTGATTTTTCTCTCATCAGGTATCCATAGCGAAACTATATACGTAGTACTTCTTCTGAAGTACTTCTTCTGAGTACTTCTTAAGTTTGATTTTAGGTGCGGCAAGATTTTGACTTGCTAGCCGAAGAAAGGACAATAGACGCTACGTAGGAGCCTAAAGAATCACTCTCGACCAAAAAATTGGCAAAGTTCAGAGAAATAAAAGCAGACCTCTTTCTCGAAAAAAACCTCGCATTTGATACAATAATCAACCTTCGTATCAAATGCGAGGTTATTTCGAAATGAAACCTGCCTTCATTTTTTTTCACACAGGTCAAGAACTTCAGTTTCATACAAATCCGAAGTAAATTCGTAGAGTAGTTTCCGCGATCGAGAAAGGACAAAAGAAGCCTCAGGATTTTAAGACGTAGATTTTATGGATTCGTATATGATACATTTCACATTCTTTCAAAATGATATGCCGCGAGTATAAACATTCTAAAGATGCTTCTTGATCTCACCCGTATAATGTCCAGAACACTGGCAGATCTTCTTTTCCTCGTTGACATCGACGCACTTTCCACCGTTTTGACAAGAGTTCGGAGTGCACGTCTCAATGCTTTCACTGGCAACTTCGCGTAATTTGTGCTTATAGCTGGTATCTGCGGCAGTTAAAAACAAACTTTGAATGAATTAGGAAAAAGCATCGTATAAGCATGCAGTATATTATGCACTCCTCCATTAGGAATTCTAAAACTTGTGGCTTTCTCTAAAGAAAATAAAGTACGAAGGGGAAGTAACAGACGGACGTATTTAATGATTAAAGATTGACCAAAGTTGATGGTAACGGCACACGTTGACATCCACATGGCCCCTTCATTTTGAGAGGAACACTGCAAAGGGTCCTGCACGCAGTAGTAGTTATCTATTCAAGGAAATGAAGGGGCCCGTTACGAAATGAAGTCGAGGGCAGTTTTCCAACAATAGAAACAAAACGTTGCGTTGTATCCATTGGCGCCAAACTCACCAAACTTTGAAAACTTATTCTTGTGTACAATTTATTGCAAAAAGCAAGGTGTAATAGATTATGAAAGTAAAGACAAGTTTAGCCTAACCTTGCATATAAATATAAGCAAGATAAAGCTAAACTTGCGTCTTTATTTTCATGGTGTAGAATGGTTTATCTTATTTTATTTTTTAGCTGAATTATTATTTTTCTCCCATCTTAATTTTCATTGCAACGGCTTAAAATTACTCAATAAAAGAAAGGAAATTTTTCAGAAATAATCCTTTATTCTTAACAACCGAACAAAAAAGTTTGCTTTTAGACGTTGTTTTGACGATAGTTGGATGTTTTAAACTTAGCGTATTAAGTCGACTGGAATTTCAACACGAACACCAAACAGAAATTAGCTCATCGTATAAGGAATTGTAATGAAAAAAACATGGTTCGAGATCCTCTGCAACTTACGCTGGCCGCTGAAGTACATACTTTCGAGCCCTTTTAAGGCATACTACGTAAAATTCAGTGGCGTGGCGCACTTTGCGATATATCGATTGATCTGCCATTTAAACCTGTGGGAAAGGGTCGATGATCCGGGTGTTCGCAACGTACACCCCAATAATCGATTCTTTACCATAACTTCAAATGGGAATAGATCGATATGTATCGAAGCACACCACGCCACTGGTAAAATTAAACACGGCGAGAGAGCTTACTCACTTACCTCTGATCGTTTTCCTATATTGCAATCTTCACTGAAAAACAAAATCTTAAATTTGCCGCCAAGAAGTATTTTCTCTTACCTAAATCTTGTGGATATTGAGAAAAATCCAGCTTGAATCAAGATAAAACAAATTCTTGGCGGGAAATTCAAGAATAAGCATGCTTGAGCCAAGTCCATTTTTTTTTCAGTGACTCACCTCGCATGGTTTTGACGGAGATGTTGAAATAAGTCTTTGAGGTAGTCTGGCTGATTTGGCGAATATGAATACTATTCAAGAAGGAATTCACAGAGAAAAGAGGAGGGTCCTGGGATTTGGCAGCACAGAGTCTCCAGACTGTCCCGTTTTTTGACCTATAAGTATCCTTGATTTCAATCATACTTCTATCTCCATCCGAGCATAACGTATCCTCTTCGGAACCATCTGAAACACGTGGCAACATGCGTAATTTATGGTTAAATTTCGTCGTTTAATTTTCTCGCGAAAGAACGTAAGTACTTTTCAATGATACCTAATTCTCCTCCACAAATTGCACTTCTACCAGGAGAATCTTGAGCTTTTCTGACAGAAAACTTCACTAATTTTTCCTCTGATTTCTTGAAAAACTCGAATAATTTTTTTCTTTTTTTGGGGGGGGGGGGGATTGCAGAGCACGGAAAAAAATGACTGTGCGCGGATAACCATCTTGGTTTTGTTAATTAAAAGTTGGTGCCGTATACATGAAAAAATGGATAGAATATCCAACGGCATTGTATGGTCCACAACGTCTTTAGGGAAATCAATCATATTCAATTAGTTGCTACTAGCTATTACAAATCTGTTCACCGAGACAAAATTGATGGTAAACTACTCCATCAAGTTGACTCATTGCACCAAAGTGTGCGCTTGCGCTTCACCTATCTTGTTTTTGGTTAATGCTACTTGGTTAAGTGGGCTCATTGAACTACAGAATGCGTTAGTGCAAATTATAAACTTGTTGATTATGAAGGTCACCATCTCAGATAACTCAATTAAAGTATTTTGTTAGTAGTCTGTCCCGTCAATTTTTTACGCTTTACCAACATTGAGTCACCAAAGAAAGCAATCAGATATGGTCTGATTAGGGAAAGTATGTTGATAAATTTTCAAGAATTCATTTTCAATCCACCTTGTGTGACTGATAAGCGTGTAATAATATGTTCGTGGAGCGCACTCCTTTTCCCGTCCCTGGCTCTACGACTATAAATATACGACTATAATATACGACTAAAATATACGACTATAAACTATATGACTTCGAGCAATTAATTATTCTAGGCTCTGCTCGGTTTTAATGATAATTAAAGGGCATTTATTACAACAATTCAGAACTTCGGACGATGTTAAATTTTTCACTGATATAAAAAAAAAACGGATCAAAACGAACTAAAATATTCATCAAAACCAAAAATTATTTCATTCTAAAAGTAAAGGATACCTTATATCGTAATTTTTGAGGGGAAAAATACAACTAACACTGATAGGAGGTAAAAATAGGGCCGCGAAGCGGCCCATTGATGGCGCGGACCGCCTTCAGGGGGTTGGACCGCGTAGCGGTCAGGGAGCATAGCCCCCTAGTATTTGACTATTTGCCTAGGCATTTGACTATTTGCCTAGTCATTTGACAAAATGCCTAATTTTACTATTTGCCTGCGACATATCGATTGCAGTGTTTGAAAATTTCTTTCCTCCCCCTCCCTCCCCTTGGCACCAAGTTTTACGAAAATCCGACGAGCAGGAACCGAGATAGCGTTTTAGGCCACGCCCGCCACCTTGGTTTTTCGAAATTAGACGAAAAATTCGAATTTAATCGATGGAATGGGAGCCGATGTATCAATTTAGGCTACGTCCGCCGTCTTAAATTTTCAAATTCAGAAAATTCAACTTGAAACGCATCATACCCAAAATCTAAGCTCAGATTTGGCTTCCTCGTGAAAAATCGATGCTATTTCATGTATCATATGTTACCATAGCATAAAGAAAAGAGGGTAATCGTAGGCGTAGAGATTCTATCAAAGCCGGCCGGTATGCGGAAGTAGGCACAGAATCCAAACGTTTGAGCTACGCCGCCAGGCGCCGGCGTCAAGCATTTGGTTCGTCCGTTTCCGAGAAAACAAACTTCTTCTTACTTATCAGTTGACCCACTCCGAATCACCCATGTTGCCACGTCGGACTGATATGTTAGAATTTACACGCCCACGTTAATCTCTTTCCTTCATGATTTGGTGACATCCGATACATGAAATTGCATCGATTTTTCACGAGGAAGCCGAATCTGAGCTTAGATTTTGGATATTATGCGTTTTAAGTCAAATTTTCTTTTATCTATTTAAAATCACTCAGGAAAATTTGCGGAAACTCATTAGCATAACAGTTTGTATTCTTTTAAAAACATTGATCAGAAATAAAACATTGACGGTATTTGAATCCATTAATCTCCGAGATAACTTGAACACGGTTGTTCTACGACTTTTTACGTATGTTGTTTTCTTCCGAATTGATTGTCGGCAGCGAAGTGGCCAAAGGCCCCTGGTAATAATAATAGTTTTCAAAATCAATTTTTTTCTACATTCAAAATTCCAAGGAAATGGCAGAAATGTATCAATTGCTAATAATGTTTTAACAATGTTTCTTGTCAATTGTATGCTGTCGTTAAGCTAAACATCCCAGGTTTACCAGTAGGCTAGGCATGCACTATATTTGACATCTTGTCAAGGCTTCAGTACTTTAGAGGGGTAATTTTTTTATTTTCTATTCTACATAATCTCACTTGTTCAAGTAAGTAGCCTGGGCTTATTTGTCCAATGCTAGAAGCACTTTAGCCAATCATAAAAATAATCCTAGTTTGAAAATTTTGAATTGATTCTCGACATGAAAAGAAAAAAAGAATAGATAGATAAATAAAATGCACTTATAAATAACAACGAAGATATATTGAATGAAGTATAAAAATCAAAATGAAGTGACTGAATTAAAGTAAAAAAATAAAAAATTGCAAGAAATAAAATAAAGTAAGTAACGGTAAAATACAGGGAAGAAATAAAGAATTAATAATCAAAGAAAAATAATATTAAGTAAAGAAAAAACAATAAAGTAAAACATTAAAATTAAGTAAAGAAACAAAGGGAAAACAATTAAAATAAAGTAAATAAATAAAAAGAAATAATCAAAGAAAAATTATATTACGTGAAGAAAAAAAATAAAGTAAAAAACTGAAATAACGTTAAAAAATAAAATGAAATACAAAAATTAGAAAAATGAATGAACCAATCTAAGTATGTAGATTGAATATCCTGGTTTTCCGTTCAAATCGAAGCTATGTACAGGTTTTTCGGTCAAGATTCTCATCGTACTGTATAGCTCAATCGTTAGGGTCTTCGGCTAGGGTATGAAAGGCCCCAGGTTCAATGCCCGCGATAGGCAAAAAAATTTGATAGGTCGGATACGACTACAGCACCTCACAATAAGTACTGTAGTCTCATTTTACTCGATTTCGAAATTTATTTACGCGATTAACCCTTTTCCACCATCCCCTAGCTGCGAACCCCGACATTGCACACCTTTGTATTCAATTTTTTTAGCTGTACGTTTTACAAGAAAATACTCCTCTTTATGGCTAAAAACACAAAATATTAGGTTCTCCTTGCTTTCATGATTGATACACTAAACATCCGGATGGGTCAGTTTACCATCTTTGAAGGTCTATCTCAGCAACGCTGTGCGGGACGTCTACGGAGGACGGCGCGCCCGCCCAGCAGTGTTGGTGCGAATTACCATCTTTGTTGTCAACACCTACCTGATCGCGGTTTGAGGTTTCTAACCATCATACATTTGTGCTCGTAGCAAAATTGTTCTCAAGGGTCGAATCTGGGAAATTAAGATGGTAAATGTCACCTACTATCTGGCTATAAGCACCAAAGATTTTTTTTCCGTAAGGTACTTACATTTTTAAAAGGAATTCAACTGTTAGGGTCAATTTTGCCACATTGAGATGGAGTCACATACGCTCCTCTGTCCGGAAAACGAAGCTTTATACATACGGAATAACAGTGAATATTTATAGGAGAAATTTTGTAGAAAGGGAGTAAAAATTGCTGAAGAAAGTGGTAAAATTAGGAGAGAATTCATAAATTCTAGTATTCAGAAAGAATAAAAACCTAAAAAAACTGTTTTAAGAAAAATATTGAATTCACGTGCATGGAACAATTTTGGGAAAACCCCAACTCAAAAGGGACCTTTATGCTTTTGAAATTTAACTATGTCTACGTTTTTAGTGATTTGAGGGGCTTGAAGGACGAGTGCAATTTTTAGCATTTGAGAAATACTTGTTGTAGGGTTCGAAATTACTTGGATCCTTATGGCGAAAAGAAATTTCAAACTGACTTTTTGACGCTTGAAATTTGGAATTGGGAGCAAATTTCCCACAGATTATGCACAAAGACTAGTTTTACTTGAAATCAATGATACGTCAATTTTTCAAAAAATGCACTTAAGTATCTTGTCCTTCAAGCCCCTCATTTGCACTTTCTCAGATATATATTAGGACCTCAAATTTTCACCCGTGATATCGTAATCGAATGACCTTATGATCGGTGCATCCTAATAACCGGATAATCTTTTTTATTGATCAAAGTCATCGTATGAGGATTCAACATTATCGGCAAAGGAATTGAATCAATGTCTTTAACCAGAGCGGAAAAAATAATCACAACGTAGAAAGCCTAGCTAGTCTGTATGAATGGCGTACTTTTTAGAAGAACAACTTTCTGAGCGTTGAGGGAAATGACATATCCGACAGGGACAGTGAGATGTTGTGAGTAGTCCAAATCTTCCGGAGGTGAAGCAGGGTAGTTGAGCTGGAGCAAATATCCTCGAGAAGTATTTGAAAGGTCAACTATTCGTTCGGATAAAACGCTATCAACTGAAACATGTAACATTGAAAATTAAAATAGGGCTCACAAAAGATGAATTAGAATTAAAATTACTCAGTATGTTTAAAGAAAAATGGCTATATTAATGCTTGAGGATGACAAAGTTTATTTGCCGATGAGCTTCGCACTCTAAGTTGTAATAGATGCATCCTGGGAAGAGGTATTATAGCTACATTTTTAATTATCATTTGCGTACTACAAATGTTAACTTTCCCCAAATTATCTAGGAGGCTTAGATTTGATCGACATGAATCGACTGATAAATAAAAACGCGAATCGATTTACGTGGACCGATCGACTCGGTTGACGTGATTCGCTCGAAAACTAAAAACGTGAACGACGTGATACAATCGACACCACCGTCTCGATCGACAAAATTCGATCGACTCGGGGGTTTGTCAATCGAGTCATTGTGTTCATGATCGATTCACAGGTTTGTCGATCAATTCACGGTTGTCGATCGAATCAAGTCCATCGGTTCACGTCTTTTTTTTTTCGATCGAATTGACACTGGTTCTTCATTAATTCGTCGATCGAATCGTTGTCGATTGGTTCACGTCGATCGATTCACGATTTCATTTTTTGATCAAATTCATACCCTCCAAATTTTCATTTGTAGGAATAAGTCTAATTGTGCTTCTGCAGTGTTAGTAGGTGGAACATCTCATTTTCATCACTCTCTGTGAGAAATGGTCGCAGGGTTTCAACACTCCTTCATGCATGCTCAGGGTGGAGTAACAGAGGGATGAAAAGGGCACTGCTCAGCTTTCCAGACGCGTGGAAAGTCGGTTTACGGTAGGGAAAAACGGGATTAAGAATAAAGCGGAGGTGGGCGGTTTAATTGAATTGCAAATTGACTCATGCTCTGCACTCACCTACTTTGTATGCGGCTTTGAAGCCCCTTCCTTGCGGACTGCGCCCGGTTTTTAAATGCAGGCGCAGCTCCTCTCCGTAGGATAAAAAAGCACCATCATTTAAAAAATGTGAAATCTGAAATGGTTCAAAGGCAGTGTCGTCGGCTCCCACGTTGATCTTCAACTTCTCCTCTTTGAAGGCGTCCTCGTCCGGGAACCCCATATCGTATTCTAAAATCTCCAACCACACTTTTTTCCCGGCTGAAAATCCAAAAGTCAGTAAGGGATACCCATGTGAAATGCAATGGTTCATGGCAGAGTGAGAGTAGTTTCAACAAATTTGTAAATTGAACTACACGGAAAAAAATTTCCATTTGGATCAAAAGGAATTCCTGTTGAATGTGCCAAGACAGGAATTTCTCGTCGAAACAACATGAGATCTTCTTGTTTCAGACGGTATTCTTGTCAGTTCTAAAATACTTTCTGTCACTTTGAAGGGATTTCCGGTTGACTCCACGAGAATTCCTGTTGTAATAGATTCAACAGGAAAGTTTTTCTCAGTGTACGGTGATCGCGGATCATTTTTGTAAATTGTTGAATTTTCTTTACCTTGCACTTCCTGATTTTTCTTCCTTGGTGCTTCTATGCTATATTGCTCATTTCAGCCACACAGAGAGAAAAGAAAACATTGATTGGAGAAGTTGATTAATAAGGGCAGTAAAACACAAAATAACCCAAGCCCTCGGTTGGCTCTGAGATCTCCCAGTCTCTCCATTGTTTTCTACGCTGTGTTCATCGCAAATTTTACCAAAATCAACACAAAATTCGGAATGGTTTCTGCTTCACTTCCTATATTAACCACACGAACGTAAAATGTTCTTAGCAGTGGAGATGACCATCTTCAGACAATCCTGACACGCCTTTATTGTTGAATCATGACCACGGTCACTTTTTGAAAAAAAAAATTGCAAATAATTTTTACAAAATCTGACAAAATTAACGAAAAATTTGGAAAAATTAAATTCTTATTAATTTTTATAAATAAATTCAAAATCGTAATTTGCAGTTAATTTTCTCGTTATTTTTCGTTAGTTTCGTCAGGCTCTTACGCAAATTTCGCGTTTCCAAATTGCGTTCCAATTGATTCAAAAGGTGACCGCGATTGTGCTTTCGCGCGAGTGTGCGTTAAGATTATACCTAAGAATGACCGTCTGGCCGAAATGATCATCGCAGCAAGAGACCACAAAGGAAGCAAAAATCAAGTACATGATTACTTTAAACATAAAGCCGCAATTAATTTCAATAAAATATAAAATTTTGTTCACAATTACTATCAGCAATTTTAATATTTGGGTCAAAAATGCAGCCTTTCTGCTTCTGTCATAATTATTGCAGTCTAAGAAAACAGACTCCATAAAACGAGTCATAAAATAAAGTTACAGTTAAAAATAGATATCGAAGTTGGGTGACGATTAATTATGGTCAAGAAATCAAATTTCAGTCAAGAATGTAACTCAATGAAAAAGAGAAAAAGGAATGCTTCCTGCCAAAAGACCTACAAAGTCGACCGGACACTGGCATTTCTTAAAGTAATTCGTCAAAGACTTTCAAACAAATAGGAGGTTATAAAAATGAGTTTGTTGCAAGGTGCGGGGATTTGTGAATTGATAACTGATACCAATGGCAAATTTTACGGAAAGAACTATAGCGCTATTAATAAATCTAGAAATCACCTCCTAAACATAGAAAAAGCTGTTTTTGGAACCGACCCAATCAAAACGGCCACTTTTACGCGGGGATGGATCCGATACACTTGTGACGTCACAGTACATGACAAACCTCGTGTCTTCATCAAGCGGCTCCCAATTACTCATGGAGATATATACATTGTTGAGGATGAGGAGACCAGGTTTGTCATATACTGTGACGTCACGAGTGTACCGGATCCATCCCCGCGTAAAAATGACCGTTTTGAATAGGTTGGTTCCTAAAACAGCTTTTTTGTTGGATGGGGGGTGATTTCTAGATTTTTTAATTGAGTTATCGTTCTTTTCGTGAAATTTGTCATCAGAATCAGTTATCAATTCACAAATTCCCGCACCTTGCAACGAGTCGACTGAGTTTAAAGTTTCGAAACAGCGGGAAATGGAAGAGTGATGGCCTACCCGGTGCCAAAATGGTCGTGGTGCAGTCTAAATGTGACAAGAGGAATCTTGGGAAATTAGGACTCGTGATGACTCCTTGTTGTGCGGTTAAAGTTTGTTGCGGGCAGCCAGCCACATCGACCGCATGCCACGAGGCGGAAAATCCAAACCCCGATACAGAATAATCCGAATGAAAGCGAACCAACACCTTGTTCTTTTCCGAGACGAAATTCAACCTGCAACATATACGTCCATAAACCCACGTTAAACTTACGAACCAATCAAACGTGCGATTCAGTAAATATAGCGTTTCAAAAAAATCGGTGTTTAAAAAAACTTCGAAAAACTAAAATTATGATGCGCTTTCGCAGTAGTCATTCGGTATCCGCGTCCGCGTTTGCGTTCGTGATATGACTGATGATCTATTAAACACCTGACGATGAGCGGTTGTTCGAAGCGGCCGTATACACTGAAAAGAAAATCTCGGTGTATTTACTAAGAAAATGGTAAAATTACCAAGAATTCAGGGTTCATTTTGATCCCAGTTTTTTCTTGGTAAAATTACCATTTATGGAATTGGTAATTTTACCGAGAAATCTCGCTAAAATTATTGAACTTTTTCGGTAATCTTACTGGACCTCGGTAAAAACGCCAATATTTTTTATCGACTATGGTAGAATTACCCAGCTAAAATTGCAAAGTTACCGGGAATTGATAACCAATAAACGTGGTATTCTCACCTGAAAAAAAACAGTATAAATACCGGTTTTTAGGTAAGTTTACCAGTCTGTCTTGGTAAAATGACCAATAATTGGTAAAAAAAAGTGAGATGGTAAAGGTACCAACGGACCTTGGTAAAAACGCCGTGAATTTTTTTTCAGTGATATATAGTGTAAAAAGCATCAACAATTTTAGAAAAATCGGCAAGAAAAAGTTTCAACAAAAATTTGATAAATATGACCGATGAAGTTAGTAAAAGAAGTTAAATTGAATTTTACCCGTTCAAAAATGGTGGCTCGTGATGGCCGCAGAATTTGACGGGCTCAGCGTCGGGCGCGATGCTCCTGAGCTCGATGAAATCGTAGAGGCACTCCGTTTGATGCTCCAAATCCAGACTCTCGAATTGGATGACGATCCGAGTCGACTCCCCGCTTTCGATTTGGACGTAGTAATCCAAGTCGTTGTAGTACGGCGAAGGGTAGTTCGGTGAGCTCAGTTTCCCTTCCGTTCCGTTTATTGTCTCGTTCAGGTTCAAGCTACTTCCTGGAACTTTTCGCCGTTACAAACAGTAAATACCATTTAATCGTAAGGAAATCTTCGTTTCACACCGGGAGAAAATGGATGCTGATTTAACATTCTGGATGTTAAAAAGTGCGCGACAACTTACAAAACGCTGAATTAACAGCTACAGTGCCGTGCTAAACAAGAACGCCGTAAACCCATCAAGATTTTCTCCCGTTTCTTGGCATGACTCTTTATAAAAAAAAATGAAAACTGTTTTACCCGTGCACCTCAAATTTTCAGGATAAGTTTTTGCTATAGTAAGTATTTGCGAAATAATTCTGTAAAAACATTGTTCCGAGGTATACAAGTTTTTCTGCAATAATACATTGTTTCCAAAAATTTTAAAATGACGTTTACGGCGTTTTTGCGTTGCACGGCAGTCGCATGTTTTCTCTCCCGTGCAACTAGTCGGTGCTTAGGAGTGAGACGTTTTCCCACCTGGGCAACTAGTTAATGTTTGGGCGAACTCTCTTCCGAGTGGAAATTAATGTATTTGAAAAAGAAGATATTTGCTTGTCTCCGGAATTAATTATCGATGGAGAAAAGTATCATCTTCCGAGGAGGAAGCTTCTCCTTATGAGAGGAATGTTTTCTCGCAGGTGCAGGAACCTTGTTCTTGTGAGAGGGACGTTCCTCCTCATCAGAAGTTAGTTTCCTTTCGAGACTAACTACATAATTCTCTCGAGAAAAAAGTTTCTTCTCCCGAGAAGTAACATGTTTTTCTCTAGTCGGAAGATTGTTCCCTTGAGATGAAAGTTTCTTCTCCTGCGGATGTATTAGTTGCCTCTTTGAAAAATTATGTTATTAGATAAATATAAAATGACATTTTGGTCATTTTGAATCAATCTCGTCTCATGGTAACTTCCGAGAAATCATTGAACATCAGAGCTTCTATTTTTATCGCTCATTTCCGTGATTTTAAAAACTTACTTATGCCATGTACTTCTCCGACTTAAACCCTGTTTTCTTTTCTTTTAAAATCCCAAAACTTTTACTCAACTTTTTCATCCTTAACACCTTTAAGTTCTGCCATACTGGGGAAGGACGTCGTATGAGCCTTCAGACGTTGCCATATTTTCTTCAATAAAAACCGAATCCACCGGTAAAACTGTAAAATTCTTCTTCAAATTTAACAGAGAATTTTTTCGCAATTCATCTAAAATATCTGAAACTTGCAAGAAAACATACACATCACTTTCCTGAAAAATACATGTTTAATCCGAGGAAATGTGGCAACTCTGGAATGCTAATACGACACTTTTCCTTCGCGCACAGCAGGATCAGAGTTAAAAGGAAATTAAGTGGAGTAGTTAATCTCTTCAATGAGCTTCTTTTTTTCCCCCACAGTAACCATGCGTATGTGTGCTTACCTTGCACGTCTCTTTTGCAAACGTATCCACCAATGAGTTGACATCTCTCCGGAACCATGTGAAGACCATTCGATAAATGCTGTAAAGGAGCGGGTGACCATTTGATGCTCAAGCAATTCAAGCCGTGAAGTCTGTTGTGATCCTCTACGTTGTTTGGCAGCCACGCTAAAAAAAAGATATATCCGGATGTTATAATAAAGACTTCTGAGACACTAATTACTCTTTAACTAGATGGAAGAAAAAAACCGGAAAAATCAGAATCTTTTCCAATCAACATCGTGTTCCTCTCAAACTTTTACATTTAGAGAGGAGGTTGGATTAGAAACCCTCCACTTTTAAAGATACACCAAATATTAGGTACATGCAGAAATTATTAGAGAAATAAATATTCATAGTGTGGAAAAGTTTTGATGACACAAAGAAAAATGACGCGAGGCTTTGAGCGAAGATGTTGATTTATAAACCCTGGAAAATTTAAAAAAAAGAAAAATGAAAATGCACACCCCAGTAAACAAAGATGCATGATTTTCTAAGATAATGTTTTGCCTTTCGGTCATACTGCCGTGCTAAGTAAAAACTCCGAGTGAAGATTCGAGAGTTGCCAAATTTCATTCGATGAAATGTTTATTATTGAGGAAATGTATGAATATTTTTCCTCAAAATTTTCAGGAACTTTAGTTGAAATTGCGAGCAAAATTATCTGAAAAATTAGAAGAAAAACATTCATAAGTATAGCAGGAATTTCGTGTTTTATCGAAGGAAATTTGGCAGCGCCTGATGGTTCATACGGCGTTTTTCCTTACCACGGTAGTATACGTGATAAACAATGAAACTTGGCACCACTCACAAGACGACGAGATTAGGGAGGAAAAGCTTTGGAAGGCGCTGCCTACCTGAAAAATTGAGTAAGCTTCCATCTTGCCAACGCCATCTACCCAATGCCTCAAAAGTAGCTCCCAGCCAATAAATTGTATTTGTGCTGTAGTCTTTGGACTCTCGAATTCTTGTGATGATGAAGCTTTCCTCCTCTATGCTGTGCACACTAGCCAAACGAGCCTGAAATAATGACAATAAATGGATGGATAAATAAATGAGGGTAAAACGGCAGGATGCTGCTGATTGTGAGTCCACACCATTCAAATTGGAAATAGAAGGCAGGTACACCAAGCAGGGCCGAATTTACCTACTTGCCGCCCTATGCATAGGCCGCCTGTAAGTTGCCGCCTCTTTCTCATTCGTTTGGAAACATCAATGAAAACCATCAAGTGAACGTGCCGGAGGGGGAGAGGTGCATAAGGCACGTTTAATCGTGTTGGACACATTTTTTGCGAAAATCCTGTCAACTTTACTAGCAAAAGTTCACGGAACTTTGCGCGAAAGTTAAGTTCCGTAAACCTATCTCTGTGTTGACAAGGTCTTGCAGTTATAAGAAATGAACGAAAAAATTATGAAAGAACAAACATTAACGTGGTTGTATAATTTTAACTTCCGCCGCCGCGCCGCGCTGACCGCACTGATTTCACGCAATGCGTGAAGTATTCGTACAGTCTTGTAGGCGCTATACGTCTCAGGGCGACCGCTGCTGAGCGCACTGTTTTTGACGCAATGCGTGAAGTATTCATGCAGTCTTGTTGGCGCTAATATGTGTTACATGTCGACCGCCGCGCCGAGGGCTTCTCCTTTCCATCTCAAGTCCGCGTCATCAGTGCTCTCTGCGTCGCGCCGCTCCAGGCCAAGTGCGTGTTTGGTTTCTCTCTTAACTCGAGTAATTAATGGCGCTGTCCCTTGGATCACCGAAAGAGGACAAAATTAGAAATTACTGTACTCTCAGAAATATAGAGATTTTGTCACCTTTTCTCGTTTGTAATTTTTTTTCTAAATCCGATTGTTTTATTTTACCTACATTTAAAAAAAATTGCAAAATTTTCCGCCCCCAATTTTTGCCGCCATGGGCCGCGGCCGATGCCGATGCCGATGCCCCCTAAATCCGGCCCTGACACCAAGAATTAAAATTAGACAAATCGAACTCTAAAAAGATACAGTTCTCAGGGGAGGGAGAGGGGGCTGTTCAGCTCAAGCAGGTGGGTTGGAATACATTACCGGCATCTTATTGAGACTTAGGTACTTTCGTTCTTGTTTGAGCACATCAGCAAAATTTACACTCGGTCAGGAAGTTAGATTTAGTATTCTCTTGACGCCGAAGATGAAATTAAAACGCCGTCATTGATGCGACGAATAATCCGGTATCGTTATAATTTTAAACTCATTACAATTAATTTTGTGACTCTCATCCTGATTATTTGGAATTTTAGATTTCATCTCCCCTCAGATGTGGCGTGTGGACTTACAAAGGGGGAAAAAGTTCGGTTCGAATTGAACGCAAAGTTTATCAGTTAGGATAACCAAAGTTCGGTCTCTGTGAACGAAACATTTGGCCAAGTACCTCAACCAAAAAAGTCAGATGTTCAACATGAACCAACAGATTCATTCCTTTCAACTGAATGTTCTTTCCCAGTGCAGCACTATTCTATCATCCGATTATTTACTCCCAGTATCCGGGTCACAATATTCGTGTTTCATCCACGGAGAAAAAAACTTGGTGCGTGGGACCCGAAGTTGAGGTCATATGGATCTCAGAAGTTTTCGGATCACGTATCTAAAAACTTGAGGTCGAGCCGCCGAAGTTCGGGGCAAACATCTGAAGTACTTTGATTTATACCGACAGGTTCGGGTCACACATCTGAAGTACTCCGGTACATACCGAAGTGCCTCGATGTCTGACCCGAACTTCGGCAGCTCAACCTCAAGTTTTTGGGTGCGTGATCAGAGAACGTCAGAGATCCATATGACCTCCACTTCGGGTCCCATGTACGAAGTTTTTATCTCCGTGTCCTCTGAATAAAGGGTGCACCATGCACCACACGGTATTAAAAATGGCAATGGCGTATCTAATCTTGAATCACGTGATCCTGCAGCATACACTGCACCAAAGCCATTTTTTGAAAGCAAAACAATTGGATATTGACATCAGTCGCAGGTAATATGTAATAGACCGGGTCTATTGAAGCAAAATCAACATTACGGCTTAGTTCGACTGATTCCACTAGGCGAGTTCATGTTTTTATGAACTTGTTCAAATACCTAGTTCTGTGCTACTAAACTCGGTCCGAACGAAACCCAGCAAAATATTCTTCCGCAAATCCCAAGAGCGCGGTCGAACGATCCCATACGCCACATTGCTAATAAAATACTCTTTCATGGTCTCTCCGAAGCTGAATGCAATTTCAGGTTGGGCATTGTTCTGCCGTGCTAAGAAAAAACGCCGCATGAGCCTTCAGACGTTGCCAAGTTTTCTCCGATAAAAACCGAAATTACTGGGAAAATTGTGAATATCATTTTCAAAAATTCTCAGACAATTTCGTAGGCAATTTTATCTAAAATATCTGAAAATTGCAAGGAAAATATGCATGACTATTGCCAATAATACGTTTTTTATCAAGGGAAATTTGGCAACTCTCGAATGTTCATATGGCGTTTTTCTTTAGCACAGCAGTGTTGGTGAGAAGGAAAGCGCAAGGTTTAAACGAGATTGTTAATTCTGAACGGGTCAAATGAACCGCGTTTAGCAGAAAGGAACCAAGCGACATCAGCCATTTTCAAATTTGACTGGGCAATTTAATTTTTTGTAAGAGAAAGTTAGTGTGAATTGATTTGAAAATTTTGAAGAATCTGCTACGCACTATGAAGAAAATTCACTGAAATTTGCACAAAATCCGCACAACCGTTTCCGTGTAAAAAATTTAATCGTCCGATTAAAGTTGGCAATAGCTGATGAGGGCTTGGTTCTTTTCTGCTTATCGCGGTCCAAATGGACGTATTTCTGCCAGACGGAACTATGTGCATTAGGAAATGAGCCCTGCGACCCACAAGAATATGTGCATAACAGGGCTCAAGTCAAAATGCACATGGTTTCGTTTGATAGAAATACGTCCAAGGAAGCTGTGGTCGCTCTTTGGCGTCATTATTTTGTGGCTTTTGTCGTGAAGAGGAAGGTATGCCGCAATCGGCACCGTAGCGCCAATTGAATTTTGATTTGCTAAACGGCCGCTTTATTCACCGTTTCTGGACGTTACGGCTAATGCCGCATACCAAGCAAAAACGGCGTATCGATGGAGAAAGTGCAAAACCACTTATCTCCCTTACGATTTCTCTTTCTGCTCCAATTTTGTATTTTTGAAGTGAAAAAAGCTAATTTTATACCTTGAAATTCGTGAAAAATATTCCGCTAATAGGGGAGGAAAATCAAGGAAGTTTTCAGGAAATAAAGTTGATTAGTTTTCCAAGGAAAAAATAAAGTATGACAGGAAATCTGCAACGTCGCGAACAGTGACGTGGCGTCCTTTGCGATATATCGATTGATCTGCCATTAAAACTTATGGAAAAAGATCGATTAACAGGGTGCTCGCAACGAATACCTTAAAAATCGATTCTTTACCATAGCTTATAATGGGGAAATATCGATAATCGTTCAGTCAGGCCTTGCAACCGGTCGCGGATGAAGATAAAAGGTTTCCCACTTTGGCTATCGGTATGATTACCAGTGGCTCTAAATTGAGGACAACGCACCAAGAACAGCCTATAGGCGTATAGGTCGTTATTACGCCCATCTGCTTTTCGGATTCTACGTACCCTGGACGATGCTGTGGTAGCGATAGAATATAGATAGGTAACGGCTCGAGGTCGACAAACCTTTTTTTCCGAGTTGAGTCAGGCCTCTGGATCGATGGGTGCAAGAACGACTTATAAACGGGCCCAATAAACTTAAGGGCCTATAAGGTGCTAGTTACCCCTTTCTTTACTCACTATCGATATTCTTTCATTTTGTGTTAATCATGCGTGATTAAAATGATTTATACTTCATATTGCCACCAAAATGACTGTTGGGCGTAATAATGGCCTATAAACCGCTTTTTTAAATTAAATATATTAGAGTGTAAACCCAAAATGTATCGCAAAATCTACCCGGCATCCTTAAATAGAAGGGTTAGGTCAGCCAAAAACACCAAAACAGGGTACCTGCATAGAAAAGTCTGCGAGGTACATCAAAAACAAAACTTTAAATGCGTTTTTCTCAAAACGCGGTTTCCAGTCACACGCTGTTCTTGGTGCGGTGTCCTCAATAGTATTTAGCAAATGGGTGGTTTTTATTCGAAGATTAAAAGTTTACATTTAAAATAACCTTCATGCACGCTGGGCTTGTCGATTTTCTTTGATATTTTTGCAGTGTTGAATGCATAGCTGAAGTGCGCTCCAGATAGAATTTTATTTAGCAAATGGGTGGTTTTTATACGAGGATTAAAAATAAACAAGTGGTAAGGAATAAAACAAAAGAATATGAACTAAGCAAAACAATAATCCGGATATCAGAACTTTGCTGTTTTGAAAACGCCTTCAAATGCGGCGTGATACCTCACGCATTCCGGAGAGTTCAAATAGTTGTATCATTGCGCCTTAGAAATGCGAACGAAAGTTTGCAATTAAAATAACCTTCATGCACGCATGGCTTGTCGATTTTCTTTGACACTTTTGCAGTAGTGAATGCATAGCTGAAGTGCGCTCCAGATAGAATTGACCACTACAGCCGTGCTAAGAGGAATGCCGTAGAGATTTCAGGCGTTGCAAAATTTCCTTCGATCAAACAGGAATTTTCAAGGAAATCTATACTGTCAGCTCTCATTAAAATTTCTCGCTAAATTTTCACTTCTGGTAACGCTCAGTTCTAGCGTTTTACCGGGCCGATTTTCAAACATATGCGCTTATTGGCTGATGATCGTCTCTAGATGAGCCCGCTCTATTCAAATTTTGAAAATATGGTTCAGGTTTTTGTATTCTACGTACGTGTTAAAGTTGTGAAGTCTCCAATTTAAACAATGTAAATTTTAATTATTTGTCATAGTTCGTTTGAGCGGTCCACTTGGCCGATTTCCACGATTTGCGGTTATCGACAGGTGAAAAATCCTATCGATGGGAAGTTCTTGAGATAAGTTACCAACAGTGTTTCCTCGCTGATTAGTTAATTTTAAATGTTTCCGATGTTTTCAACGTGTCCTGTGTGAAACTTTGATGAGAAAACACAAGCTGTAATGATTAATATCTTGCACTGCCCAATGGTCCATCAGCATAGTAGAATACTAGGTGATTGTGAAGGTTTATGGTGAAAAATGGCTTGTCTGTGCAAAGTGTCCAATAAATGCTCGTGCTTAGCACCACAAAATGCACAGTGATCAATTAAAAACGGCTTATCTGCATATGATTCCCATTAGAAATAAGTACGGTATTCACCTGGTGGGGGCAAAGAGGGGTAGAATATGGTCGGCCGATAAAGTGGGAATAGCATCGCATTTAACCCAACTGAGTCTCATCTCCACCACCCGCAAGACCATAACAATTTCCATAACCGACTACCGCGTAAAGCGGTTCAAAGCTGAATGGTGTTTAGCGATGGTCCAAACATTTCAAACAAGTCCAAAATACTGTACGTAAAGAACGAACAATTACTAGGTCATTCTATTGGTCAAAATTAAGACGCAGGATTTCTGCGTCGAATTTTGAAAAAATCATGACAGTTCAGACTGCAAATTCTGAAAAATGACTGACATTCTCTAGGTCAAAGTTGTAGTATATTTTGCAATTAGGAACTAAAATTTCTGGCTCAGGATTAAAATGACGTGTGCACCATTAATTCCCGTATGCAATTAAGAGGATTATTGGATGATAATGTAATTCCTAATGGAGAATTTGCACACAATTAAAATTGTTATCGCTTCATCTGAGAATGCTTAAAGAGCTGAGCTCGCAGTATATTTTACATTTTTTTTCTAAAATAGGAAATAGTATGAAAATTCTCTCCCTAGCATAAACTTCTCGTTCCGAAGAGAAAATATTTTTCTCCGGAACACAAATATTTTTTACCGGAGCTTTTTTAGCACAGAGAAGACAGTTCAAGTAAGTTAGTCCGAGATACTCGGTATAATGGCTTCACCGTCGGAGCATCATCACCGCATGTTTCATAATTTCCGCTCCTATTCATAATTTCCGGGGAGAAATAAACTAGCTCTGTATGGCTTGAAATCTATACAGAACTATAGGAGGTTATGCCCCCTGGCCGCTACGCAACCCAACTCCCAGAGGAGGAGGGTGCTTTGCACTATCGTAGGCCCGCTTCGAAAAAAGAACGACCAGAAAAAAAAAATGAAAAGATGTTCATACTCGACTCTCATTTGTCCAATCTCTCTACGGCCGGGAGCGATTGGACCAATAAGAATCGCATGAAAAAAACCTTCATTTATTTCAAACTTCACGCCAAGACTTAGGTCAACGAAACGGAACGAACGGAACAGAGCGTTTCGTCACCTTTAAATGTATAGTCTGTAGCAAAGGAGCGTACCTTCGATTCACTTACTTTATCCTATTGACAGAGCAAGATTTAACATTTCCCGCTTTGTTCACTTAAGCACAGAGGAGAATTTCATGAGCCGCCGCCCGCGGCGCATTATGGTCCAAAACTCAAGGATAGGAAGAAGTAAGTCGGATAATGACTGGAAGATCACGAAAGTTTCGAGACTGATGCTCTTATGAGTCGCTAATTTCGAATTTGATGTCAAATTGCCAAAATTTTAACACCCTGACCTATTAAACTGCGGTGCGGCGTGCTGTCAGCTCGAAACGCGCACCGACGCCTACAAACCTAAGGGGATACTACAAGCATTGCGCAATGCGTGAAGTATCCCCTTAGGTTTGTAGGCGTCAGTGCCGCGTTTCGCGCTGGCAGCACGCCGCGGCTCTCCCGGCGGACGGGTGGTGAACGATCTCTTGCGGGGAGAGCTCCCTGGTAGAGAAATCCTTGTATCGTGTAATTTTTTNATTCGATCGAATAGCTTTCTACTTTCACAATACACGGTCTCGTCAAGGTGCGTCTTTGACCTCGCAGTGTTGGATCGTGAATTCTCTTTTTATGCTGTTTGCCTATTTTGAAATCTCTGTAAATGAAAACTAAAGGGGTTGATATGTGCGAGTTAATGACGCGCCTTATCAACACATTGTGTTGGAGTTCACTGCTTGTTTTTTTTTAAATTTATTTATTCCGACTTTTAAAATTACACACTGGTCGTGTGAAGTAATTAGCGAACTCTCAACGCTTGATGAAGTGTAATAATGAAAGGTGGGTCGTGCGCTATGCGCGCTGTGGACGGCGCAAGGCGGTTCATGAAATCTCTTCTGTGCTCTGTCGCGCTTTGTGCAATTTTCCGCTAAATTTGAAATTCTCGCCATTTTCCAAAGGCGGGAATTGCAAATTTTGCCCCCCTCTCTAAGCTCCCTGATCTACTCTTATATGAAAAAACCTGGGTACTTTTTCCAACATTTGAATACAGCGGGCTCATCTAGGGACAATCACCTGTCAATGACCGCAAATATCATGGCAATCGGCCCAGTAGAATGCTCAAACGAACGGTGACAAAAAATGAAATTTTACATTGTTATTAGTATAAATATTAGTAAGGCCCCGAGTAGCTAAATCCATCAATAAATCTATATTCGACTTTCTCTTTTCGATGGCACATCATTTCCTCTCTTTTTCCAAGCAAAGCCAGTTGACGTGAGTAAGTCCTTAAGGAGACATCTGATTTTTTTGTTTGTGTGTGTGCAAAAAATTGAGAGCAAATCCAGTAGAGTTGAGCTCTGTCTTTGGGATCCGACCGAAGCGTCGCGAGCACTGGCGTGGCGTGAATTGCGATACATCGATTGTTTGCCGTCTAAGCCTATGGAAAAGGATCGATAGACAGGGTGTTCGCAACGAACACCTTAAACATCGATTCTTTACCATAGCTTCAAGTGGGGAGTAGCACTAGATTATTTAAGCCTCGCCTCTGGTCGTGAGCACTCAGATCTTTCGTTCTCACGACCAACTGCAACGTTACGTCACGCGTCAACGTGGCGTGCCGTGCTTTTCGATACATCGATTGTTATACCATTTAAACCTATGGTAAAGAATCGATTATTATGGTGTTAGTTGCAAACACCCTGTCTATCGATCCTTTTCCATAGGTTTAAACGGCATAGCAATCGATATATCGCAAAGCACGCTATGCTACTTGTCACGTGTCGCCTGCAGAGGGGCGATCTCTTCAATTCCGGGGAACATCTTTTGAACTTTTTTAATTATCTTGGCTCTTGTTCTCGCATGAAAGAGGCGTGTATGACGGGAGATAACAAAATGAAATCAGGGATTCACCGTTCATTGTTTGCTCAGCGAGGCTGGAGTGGCTTCGCCTCCCCCCGAGCGCTTGGCCATCTTTGCGATGCGCGCCAGTTAGGTCGCCATTGTTAGTCTGAATGAGCGCGGAATTCACCCCGTTCCTTTTGAAATAATTTGCCGGCCAAGTCGCTCTGCCCCGCGCTTTTAAGGCCCGCTTGAGCGTCACCTCCTCTCACGGCTGAAATTTACGAAAGGCTCGCTCTTCCCGATGAAAATTCAACGTCTTGCTTCTTGCCTAAGCGCCTAAATTGAAGGCGACTATGGTCGAAAATAAAATGAAGCTATCTAAAATTCAACGGAGATCTTTTTAACAGGAATGGACCACTAGACAAGGTACGAATTTCAGCATTTTGATACACGTTTCTTAACTAAAATTTCACCTAGAACAAGATTCGCGCAACGAAAATTACTGAAACCAAGTCCTAACGGAGATATTAACGTTTTTATTTCACATTGGTTACGAAGAATTTGAACTGCCCGCTCACAAGAAACTCAAAGCTCTACGTGAGTCAAATCGCTCACTACAACGGTTTCAGAAAGCTTCTCAATCGAGCAATGTTCATTTCCCACCATGTGTTGTTCAAACTATTAGCAATTTGCTATAACTGAGCCAAAACGTCAAGATTGAAGTCGCCAGATTTTTACATCGCAGAGACTGTCATGATAACGTTTAGCGCGCGATGTGAATCATGTAGAGCATTGAGTTTTCATGAGCGGGTGGTTTGAATTTACGCATCAAGAATCATTTAATATCTTCGTAAGGTGTTGATTTCGGTAATTTTCGTTGTACGCATCGTATTTTACGTGAAATTTTAGTTAAGAAACATGAATCAGAATGCTGAAATTCGTACCTTGTCTAGTGGTCCATTGTAGAATATTGATCGATGGCTAAAGAACAAAGCCGCCTGTCTGCAAACTGACAATTTTGTACTGTAAAAAAAAGTATTACCTACAATCCCAACTATACCCCCGGCTGAGTTTGGCGCCAGTTACAAGAGTCGTTGCACCAGCCAGAGGAACGATTGAGTCAGCCAAAATTGTGGTTGAATTAACCATACCATCGCTATATTAACCTAGTTTTAAAAGGATCGATGCTAAAATCATTGATGTTTGTACTGGTGATTATACATGAACTTTTGGTAGTCATAAGTGCAAAAATATTGCAGGTATCTTTATTATAAAAACAACTATTAATCTTATATATTTTCATCTATTTACTTCTATAAATTGGATGGTTCAGAAGCTTAAATTATTTATGTTATTTATTAAACTAATAATAATAGGCAAAGAGGGTAGAATTATTACTATGACCATGAATAGTGTAGTTTCTGCTCGCTCTGGTTGATATCCTCAAGTCATAATAATTATTAATACAATCATTATAGAGATTTCAAACACGTTTAGTGTACATGCTCTTATAACTGGCGCATAAGTCAGCCAGAATTATAATTGAGATTGTGATTATTTTTTTTCCCAGTGCAGGATGAAGAGGAAACTTTGCCATTTTTGTAATTTTGAGGTAATATTTGGAATTTTTTATGATTTGCAACGTCATTTTAGCGCTCTCCTATAAAATTGGGCAAAAAAAATAATATCATCAGCTTCCTTATTTTCCAGTGTAGAATGCGGCAAAGTTGCTGACTCATTTTTACGAAAATGGTCAGTTAGGTGGTATTGCTCCTTCGCCCTCGATATATGGAACCGAGATATGAAAAAGCATCATTTACTTACCCTCAAACCAGTGCAGATTTCTTTAGCCGTATGCCAGGTAACTTGTGGGTAAGACACAACCATGTAGCACGAGTTGTTGTACATGAGCATTCTATCATCAGAGCATTCCAGCCCAGCTGAAATAAGATAATTAACGAAAGAAACGAATGAATGTGTCAGCAAAGAAATGTTATACAAGTAATACCAAAAGTTGGTGATCATGATTTTACGAAAAGATTTTCCCACCTATAATCCCATCCCACCTATCCCACCTATAATAGTCACCCGACCTATGTCGTCAATTCTTTCGTTCACGATAACTATCGTTAGATTTACGTTAGCCTATTCAAATTTTATTATTTTGTCCATTTTGGTCTTATAAAGAACTGTATAGATTTTTGGTTGAATCGCACTTACCGTTTACTTATAAACGGTAATTAACGTAAGTGACGTACTTACGCTGTTTTCCACTGATCTGTTTTTATGAAAGTTCGATTCCTTGGTTTCCTTGGTAACCTTTGTTTGCTATCAGCTGATGTTTTATTTCAGTTTTTTTTTTTTTTAAATAATTGCCAGGTTAGTTCTAATTTTTTTGCAGCATTTATTCTACCTCCCCCCCAGCTCATTTTTCTACCTCCATCACCTTTTTCCCTCAACTCATTTTTCTATCGATTTTGTCATTTTTTTTTTATGGCATGTCTTGCTCCCCTACCACAAATTTTCCGAGGTTATAAATATTTTAGCGGCCTCTAGACCCGTGACTCCAGTCACGAGCATTTTGCTAATGATTTTATAGAGGAATGGGCAAAAATTGAGGATTTGAGGAAAAAATGTTGAGGATTTTAGCCCATTTTTGAGACATTTACCGATAGAAATACAAGTGTAGAAACCATATGAGGCATCCCAGGAAAGGACCTGTCAAAGGTGCGACTATGAATACGGCCCTACGACGAGGAAAACTGATTTGAGACTAACCATGAACCATAGAGACACGAGCCTTGAAGCCGGGAAAGTGGTGCGAATAGTCTGAAACGAAGAGCATGCGCAGTCGGGAGCTGGAACTTTTGTGCCTCAGAAGCTTCAACCTATCCCCCCAGTCGCCGCACAACCTTTTGGGTGCCATCGATGAGGTCATCTCCTCCCCGAGCTCATTGCCTCGGTTTCCTTCTCTCGAGTTCCCAACATCACCTTCGGAATCTTCCTCGATCTCCAGTAATTCGATGTAGTCGTATGAACACCTAGAACATGGTCATTTGACAATTTTAAGGGAACAAAATTTGGAAATTACGGTCTATGGAAAGACCTGCCCCAGAGTAATTTTTCTTCCCCTCTAGGAACAAATTTGGACGTATTTCTGCCAAACAAAAGTATGTGCTTTAAGATATGAGCCGTGTGACTCATAAGAATGTATGCATAACAGGGCTCCCGTCATAATGCACATATAGTTCCGTCAGGCAGAAGTACGTCCATTATTTGATCACATCTTGTACCCCGAGGAACTACCTTATGGGAAGGTTGCCAGGTTGAGTCACTTGGCAAAAGAAAGTAATGTGTTTGTTGGGCTGATTGAGATTACTCGTGCCTCGTTTGGACGCATTTCTGTCGAACGGAACTATGTGCATTATGACGTGAGCCCTGTAATACATATATTCTTATGGGTCTCAGGGCTCATTTCGTAATGCATATAGTTCTGTTTGGTAGAAATATGTCCATTTTTCTTAAGAATGTGACTTGTTTCATTTCTTATAACCATAGTGTCTAGAATTGTTTACCATGCTCATTCCTTGATTTTCTCCTGATTTTCCCTGATTTTCCAAAGCTGAGTCTTTGATGGGAATTCAAAGTTTTTCCCTACTTCATCGGGGTTCTCTTGAGAAAACCTGTATAACTCTACGGAATTCCTGGTATAAATGTAGATTTTCTTGATCTTTCAGCCCATTCTTTCTCGCACATCAGAATTCTTAATTTCAAAAGCGTGTTTGACGTTTGCGGTAACTATCCGATCAATGATGGCTTCTCTATTACTCTGACGATTTGAAGATTCAAAAAGACACGGATGGATCTGGGTGTTTCCTTGGAAATTTTAAAACCACCTAGTGCGACACATACACACACACAAAAAAAGACGACTCAGGTCCGATAAAATAAACCGTAAAATGGTTTTTCAGCGGTAGAAGAAGAGATTTTCGGTTATCAGAACAATTTCCCTAATTTTTCCCTGATTTTCTCTGAAAATTCGCATTACTTGTTGAATACCGGTTTCCCGGTCCTATAGACACCTTGCGAGGCGTGAGTGTCGATTATCGATATCTCCCCATTTGAAGTTGTTGTAAAGAATCGATTATTATTGTAGTGTTGGTTGCGAACACCCTGTTTATCGATCTTTTCCATGGGTTTAAAAGGGCAGATCAATCGATAGATCGCAAAGTACGCGACTGCTTATAACTTAGTCCTTGTGTGAATATCAAAACGAAAACCTAAACCGAGGTAATATTCTACGGCTTGGTTACGCGCTCAAATTTCCGTCAAATTTCGATCTAAATGATGACCAAGATGGCGGTCGAGAGTTATCTAGATTGATGAGTAAAATTAATTAAAACAGCGAGTTGATTGAAATAAGCATGAAATAAGCACGGTTGTGTGGAAATCAGATGAAAGATGAGCCCCACAGCTCCATCATCTACCATCAAATTTTTGCAGGCCGCAGAAATTTGATGGTAGATGGTGCGCACCAGTCACCATTTGATCGGAAATTGATGGAAATTTGAGAGTGTAACCATAGCACTAGGCTTGTTGATGAATACTTACACAGATTCGTTTTCGATGACGAGTTCATCGAAATCGATGATTAATCGATGGGTGGGCGGTGCTGAGATCTCGACGAGGCAGAAAGCGTTGTCCGGGTACATATGAGGAAACCCCGGGCTCACCACAGTCGCCGAAGGGTGCTCCGAGCTCAGCGATATCGATCGATTGCAATCGAAGGTTTTCGCCGAATCAGCCAGTTCTACCGACAAAAGTCCCTCTCATTAATCATGCATTATCTTCCATATGCACGTTTGATCTCTAAACGGATACAAATTCTTCTTGGGGGCTACTGGTTTGCCCTGCAATGGAGATGTTACATGTGCGATTTGACCATTGATCCTTATGTAAAAGTTCGCGAGAAACACGATGGTGCCACTGGTTTTCTCTGAAATCGTCTTCCAAGCTCAAAAAAGCTCTCAAAGTGAGGCCAAAATGGAAAGGACATCCCGCCCTACTCTGAGAATCCACCTCTACATCAAAACAAACTCTCCATGCAAAGATAAGGAGCAAATACATTAGCAGGGTTGCCGTGTTTTCAGTTTTGGAGTCCCCAAATAAAGTGGCCTCACTTTGAGAGCTTTTTTTGAGCTTGGGATATGATTTCAGAGAAAACCAGTGGCACCATCGTGTTTCTCGCGAACTTTTACAAAAGAATCAATGGTCAAATCGCAAATCCCTCACACATGCAACATCTCAATTGGACGTATTTATGCTGAATGGAACTATGTGCAAACGGAAAGATGGGGTGTGCTCATTAGCGCTCGGGCCATAAGAATGAATGGGATAACTTAAAAGCGCCAGTGACGTCAGCGGCATTGACGAGAGAAACGACGATCAACGACACGGTCTTTCACTCATGAGCCCTGTCCACAAGGCTCTTGTCACGTGCCCATGGCTCACGAGTTAGCGCTCAGTTCTTTTTGATTTAATTGAAAATCCCGCTTTTCCATTTTCTCAAAAGGAACTATATCCCCTTTTACAGTGTTTCTTATGCAGCTTCCACAAGCACACCCCATCTCTCCACTTGTGCATGGTTATATTTAGCAAAAATAAGTCCAATTAATTGTGGATCAGTTGTGCTGGTGATAGAATCGTGTTTCGATGTTTTATTCTTGTAGATTAGCTAAAAATATAATCTGCCCAAACAGCAACTCTCAACGTTCAATTTTAACCGATAGCTTTGAAGAATTTGCTTTAGGACGTCATCCACTGCGGTAGTGAGACCCTCGGTTTCTTCCACCTTGCTTTCATCAGTCAGGGAGACACACATTTGCATTGGTTACTCAACGTGAAACTCGGATGAAAGGGAGGTGGAAGGAACCGAGGATGTCACTGCCGCGGCGGAGGACGTCCTGAGCCGAATTTTTCAAAGCGCGATATCTCGGTTCATATTCAACGTTGAAAGTTGCGGTTTTTACAGATCATATTATATTTAGCTAATCTACCAGAATTAAGCATCAAAACACGATTCTATGACCAGTGCAATTGACCCATTTTCTTGAACCATATTAGATAGTATCAGAATCCTGACAGTGCATGCTATGTACGTCTAGCCGAGCCGATCTGCTAGACGCTTGGTTAACACTATCAGAAGTCTGGTGCAGGTCACCAAATTGCCTGCGGGCTGATTATTGAAATTGATAGACAAAGTAATAGACAAAGAGGACAAAAAGGATTTGGAGGGATCTTATTGGTAGAAGCGGGTGGTTGCAATGGACTAGGGAGGTAGGTAATAGACTGACTAACGGCAACCCACGAGAGACCCGACAGTTAGTCTATCATTTTCCCCCTTAGTCTATGATGAGAACCACCCATTTCAACCAATAGGATTGCTTTATACCCCCTAGGTCTTCTTTGTCTATAGCTTTGTCTATCAATTTCAATAATCGGCCCGCTGGAGATCAATAAGGCTGTGGCCAGGTTTTTCCAGACCCTAGAAAAATCGCATTAATTTTCTCCTTGGTCGCGGAGAAAATATGATTATCGCTCTTACAATATTCATTACTACTGGCACTAGAGCAATTAATTAACACATCTGGGTTAGCTGCGTCTAAAATGCCTATATGAAGAGAGTGAGTCAAAGTATGGATCTGTCAAGGCCAAAAAGAGCAACCAACCTTCTAACACGAAAAACGCTAGACAAATGCCGCTGCCAATCTCCAGATTCCAATATCATACCAAGATGGTCAAGAATGTCCATTATTGAGCGTCCTCCCGCAAAAATGAGTAAATGTATTATAAAACTAAGTAAACTCCGTGCTTTCCAAACAACGGGTCGTGAAAATTCTATAATGTATCATTCTGGATAATTTGAGTTCTTGTGGGCTGGTTACTCTTTTAGGCCCCAAAATCTCAATGACTAAACCTCCGACAAGTCCGTTTTCTCCCGATACCTATGCTGCCGTGCTCAGGAAGAACGCCGTATGAGCCTCCAGGCGTTGCCAAATTTCCTTTGATAAAACACGAATTTTCTGGTTAACTTATGAATATTTTCCTTCTGCTTTTTGAGATAATTTTGTTCGCAATTTCAGGTAAAGTTCCCGAAAATTCCGAGGAAAAATATTCATAACGTTCCTTAAAAATGAAAATTTTAATTTTAAATTTTAAAATTTGGCAACTCCCGAATGTTCATACGGCGTTTTTCCTTAGGACGGCAATACAGACATTCAAGCTGCGGGCCGATTATTGAAATAAATAGACAAAGCTATAGACAAAGAAGACATAGGGGGTATAAAGCAATCCTATTGGTTAAAATGGGTGGTTCTCATAGACTAAGGGGGAAAATGATAGACTAACTGTCGGGTCTCTCGTGGGTTGCCTTTAGTTAGTCTATTACCTACCTCCTTTGCCCATTGCAACCACCCGCTTCTACCAATAGAATCCCTCCAAATTCTTTTTGTCTTCTTTGTCTATAGCTTTGTCTATCAGTTTCAATAATCGGCCCGCTGGTGTCGATATCATCCAACCCTTTTCTTCATTGACGGGTTCAGCATTAGAATCCGAGACAGAGCGATTGTCAACTTGACAAAACGCCTGTTTTTTTCATCATCCCTTGTGCATGGCAGGCAGATAGTTCTCACCCGTCACTCGCACATTACTCCATCACCATCGCACTGACGATTTTCAATTATTATTTTTTGCATGTCGACAGGAACTGACAGCGGAGCATACCTTTGACGTTGGCGTTCTGAAGGGTCTGGCAGATGAAAAAATTGGGCGTTGAGCAATGGCGGTCGTTCCACATGAAGGTGTTGACGGTCCTGGATTGAGAGGCGAATTTCGGGGGGCGGATGGGGAGGGGGTGGAAGGGTCGGGACAGGAAGGGGTTGTGATTGGCCGAGAGCGGGGAGCTCTGGTGATGGGCCGAGGGCGGGAGGTGGAAGGATCGGCGGAGCTCGACACAGTCCTCCTCGCTGATCCCGTCGTCACTCGGCTGCCGGTTGTAAGACCCGAATTGCGACCAACCAGGAAACCAATCTGTCAACACGCCCAATCAGAAAAATTTTCAATCTTAGAATGGAGATGTGGAGATCAGGCCCGCCACATCCCATCTCGGGCCCTGGTACCAATTTTCTGTCCCGGGCCCCTAGCACAGGGGGGGTCCGGGGGCCTCCCCCGGGAAATTTTTAAAATTTTAAATCTATTCGGACGCATTATGAAGCTCTTATGATGGAGATTTTCCATCAATTTCTGCAGAATAATTACGCCTTTTTGTATACTTTCAGCACCAAAAACTTTCGAATTGTTGCATTCAAAACATCTATAATTTTTTTTTTGAGGGGGCAGATGATAATTTTCAATTCTATGGGGAGCCGGGCCCCCCTGGACTCCCCTTTCGTACGTCTATGGCAAGGGAGTTAAGCCATTGAAGTCGAGGATGCCCAGAAAGGAGTCTCTTAGCATCCGACAACGGAAGAAAATGAAACACAGTTACTACAAATATCATTCTACATATACTCAAAATCTTGAAAATCTCTAAAAAAGTAAGAAAAATTTTATAGTGCCCTAGCGTGTTTTTGAAACTTTATTCACCTTTTGCGGAATTCTTAGGGTAATTTTTTCACTTTTCCCTACGAGACAAGGGTTACACATGAATTCGTAGTGGTTTGTCACCTGCGTCACGGGCCCCTCCAAGGCCCGGGCCCCGGCACCAGGGACCCAGTATCCCCCCCCCCCCTTGTGGCGGGCCTGGTGGAGATGTAGAGAATGTGTGAGGATTTTGCGATTACACCGTTGATTCTTACGTAAAACTTCGCGAGAAACACGAGGTGCCACTGGTTTTCTCTGAAATCAACTCGCAAGCTCAAAAAAAGCTCTCAAGTTCAGGCCAAAATTTAGGCGATATCCCACGCTATCCTGAGAGTCCACGTCTACATTAAGGCAAACTCTCCATGCAAAGATAGGGAGCAAATACATTTGCAGGGTTGCCGTGTTTTCAGTTTTGGAGTCCCCAATTGAGATGGCAGCCCTGTCAATGTATTTGCTCCCTATCTTTGCATGGAGAGTTTGTTTTGATGAAGTGGTGGACTCTCAGAATAGCGTGGGATATCCCCTCCATTTTGGCCTCAACTTGAGAGCTTTTTTTTGAGCTTGGGAGTTAATTTCAGAGAAAACCAGTGGCACCATTGTGTTTCTCGCGAACTTTTACATAAGAATCAACAGTCAAATCGCAAATTCTTCACACATGCAACATCTCCATTGGGAAACTTTAAAAGCTTATTACTCCGTTTATACAAAACTCTGAGGTTTCAAAAGTGAATCCATTGGTTCCCTCGTGAAATTTTCTTCTCGAAGCATCCTTTAAAATTTAAAAAAAGACGAAGAAAACATCAAAATTTGCAGTTTTAGTCAAAAAATTCATATCCGATTTCTCTAATTGACTCGATCCACTGTGAGACGCTTCGTACGCCCTCTGGGACCCGCTTTCAATGGACCTATGCTCTGTTGTTGGAAAGAACATTGCCGGATCTAGCAAATTGGCAACATTGTCTTTTTTTCATTTAAACCTACGGAAATGTATCGATTCTTTAAGGGACCAAGTGCCCTGACAATCGATTATTTAGCATAGGTTTAAATGGAGGAAATCCGGTGTTGCCAAATTGGCGGATCCGCCTCTGTGGAAGAAAGGAGAAAACAAGAGCGGAAATTATTAGAATTGGCGCAGAAAAGGACATATTTTCTTGATGTTTTAACTCCAAGTTATGATAATTAGGAATACGAATATCGATTACTATGTAAGTGGTGCGATTTTTTTTTATCAACAAGCACTATGTCCGGCCTATTTCATTGTTATTATTGTTTTCTGCTTTTTCTTTTTGTTTTTGATTTTTTGTTTTTAAATAACAACAACAATAAATCGTTTGCAACCTGAGAGAAAACAAGAGCAACAATTTCAATTGCGGGCCAAGTGGCACCCCCTACTTTTAAGAATCGTCTCTGATTGGCTGATCCGCCTGGTGCCCACTGTCTGGGCCCTTATGGAAAATAACGCGGGGCTAGTTTTCCATCGAAAATATCTCGAAAACAAGGAAGAATTCATAGTGTTGTTTTATCAGGTAATTAATGATTGGGTTTAAAAATTTATGCGTCTAAGATTACAGAACTCAGTTCTCCAGATTTTACTGAAAAGGTTAATGGGTAATAAATTTCTCCCCGATGATAGACTCACGAGCAACTAGCATAGACGCATCGTTGGGAACGCAACCAAAGCGCCTTCAATTTTGCGTGGAAGCAACACGCACATCCCCCGAACACGAATAGTCGCATTTAAGCGCCGTCGAAACCGCTCGGTAATAAATTTTACTTCTACGCATGTCGATGGCTAAAGTGCGAACCACGCATCTCCATTGCGGTGTTTTACGAATGTCCGCTCCTTTTTTTTCGCGGAACAACTTTATAGCTTAAAATTTTTACAGAATTGTCTGCTAACGGAGAAGAAAAATCAAGGAAAGTTTCGAAAAATCACGTTGTCTAATTTTCTACGAAAACAATTAAGTATGACAGGAAGTCTGCAACTCCGCAAACGGAGGTACGCGGTTTCGCACTCTGCCCATCGATATTTCGCAGGCAAATAGTCAAATTAGGCATTTTATCAAATGCCTGGGCAGATACTCAAATTTTTAAATTTTACGAGGTTTTCTGTGTTTTTACAAAGACCCCTCTTTTCAATATTTTGAGACTAAAAATCCGTCAAAGTACAAACTGTCATTGTGTTTCCTGTTCAAAAATGCTTCTCATATTTCTTTAACCGTCCGAACTGTGAAAATTTTTTATATAATGGAATGCTGCATATTCTGAGATAAATTTGCATTTGAATACCAGAAATAAACGTATTTATGATCATATGAAGCAAGTTTTTCCACAGAATTCTTTTCCACACGATCAGAAAATATTTATCCACAGTCAGCAAAATAATCAGAATTTCAGTCTACGAAAGAGTATTTGACTATTTGCCTAGGCATTTAACAAAATGCCTGATTTGACTATTTGCCTGCGACAGATATACTTTTCAAATAAGCATTCGAACTCATAAAACTTGGACGTATTTCTGCTAGGAACCAGAGACGGGTATGAGTGTGCTTGTTAGTTGAGGGCCGCAAGAATGAATGGGCATTAAAAAGCGCCAGTGACGTCAGCTGCGACGACGACGAGCTCGACGTGTGTGCGCTTTAAAGTCTCTGTTACACCTTCAAAATACTCCACCTAAATGTCAAGATCAAGTGCTGTGGTTGATCCAAGTCATCGAATAAGCCAATCACAGCACCTGATCTTGATATTTTGATGGCTATATATATAGCTTTGATAGTGTGACACAGGCTTAACTCATGAGCCTTGTACACAACGCTCTCGTCACATGCCCACGGATCACGAGTGCCGCATATTTTGGCGCTTTGGCTCCGTTTGTTTTACTGTAAAATCCCACTTTCCCATTTCCACGTAAGGAATCAAGTCTACTTTTACATTAATTCTTATGCAGCCTCTTAGAGCACACCCTATATTTCCCACCCGTCTCTTGTTCATTTTAGCAGACATACGTCCGGTTGGTGTTTTATGTCTTGCTTTTCACTTTTTATTATGTGATTCAGAGCGAGACTTACTTGTGTACGACACAGGAGACGCGTCCGTCCAGCGGAAGTCTCCCTCGTGGTTCAAGTCGGTTGCGCCGATCCAGTAAGAGTTGTCATCGTTGTATTTTGGGCTGAGGTGAAAAAGAGAAAGAAAACCGAAAAAAAAAAAAAAAAAAAAAAAAAAAAAAAAAACAAATCATAGTTTTTATAAGATAATAATAACATGATTGAAAGCTCTTAATTATATTGGATTTTTGTTTTAGTACTAGTAAGACCGCGAAAAAGTGATTATTAACATTAATAGCCACGTTATTTTCAAAGGCATGGAGGACTAGAACTGGGGAAAGGAAATAATAGACACATGTCACATCCGAAAATTGCACCATTCAAAAGATATTTACATGCTAACCAGTAGACCAACTGATGTTCGATGCATTTAGACTGATGTGACTTTTGTGTATTCTTTTCTCTCCCCAGTTCTGAACTGATTGTGAGCACCAAAAAAACTAAGAGTTTCAGAACTTAAACTAACATTCTCGATTTGAATTTGTTCGTCGGTCATTTCTGCGCCAATCATGGCCGGAATTTATGAAATAAGGCATTGAAAATTTTGGAGAACTTTCAGATTAAAATTCTGAAAGTTTTGCAGAAGCAAAATTTGCAACCCGCGCAAAATACATGAAAAATTGATTAATGAAATTCCAACAATTTTGAAGTAAGATTTCTACGATCAATAGATTTTCAAAATTAGCTGTTTTTCACCAATTTAACCATTTATTTGATCAAATTTTGAAGCTTCTAGACCAAATTTGACGAACTTCGGAACTAAATCCGGGCGTATTCTGGAATTTTTCCCCGGAATTTCTCTCGGTACTTTGGCAAATCAGAATATGTTTCCCGATATCGGAATTATTTCGGAATCTTTTGATAAAATAAAATGGCAGCACTGGTCTACTGCCGTGCTGAGGAAGAATCCCCCCCCCCTGGTCCCTCCCTGGGATTGTGAGCCTTCAGACGTTGCCAAGTTTCTACGATAAAAACCGAAATTACCGGAAAAATTGCGAATATTATTTCCCACAATACTCAGGCATTTTTATGCGTAGTTCAATCTAAAATATCTGAAAATTTCAAGAAAAAAGAAGCATGAAAGTTGTCAAAAATACATGTTTTATCGATGGAAATTTGGCAACTCTCGAATTTTCATACGGCGTTCTTCCTTGGCACAGCAGTCTAATGGTCCATCTCGCGGGTTCGGGGTGGTAAATGGGGAAGGTGCAGGGACGGATTTCCCACAAGGCAGACCTAGGCAGCTGCCTAGGAGCGCAAAGTTTTGAGGGGCGCAAATTTTTGAGACACGTGAATGCTTCTTTAAGGATTCTAGAATTGAAATCGGCACAACAAATTAAGGACGAAGAAAGAGCCGCGCGAAGAGAAGAAAAGAATATCTGTGAATCTGTCCTTGTCCACCGATACAATTCATATAAAACCCGCATTATGAAGCATTATAAAATGGACAGAGTTTAACAGAAAGGAAAGCCACATCAGCTATTGCCAAATTTAACTGGGCAATACAATTTTTTACGAGAGAACGTTTGTGCGGATTCCTTTGAAATTTTTAAGGAATTTGCTTCAAACTATGAAGATTTTTCACTGCAATTCGCACGAAAATCCGCAGAACCGTTTTCATGTAAAAAATTAAATTGCCGAATTAAATTCGGCAACAGCTGATGTGGCTTGGTTCCTTTCTGTTTAACGCGGTCCGAATAGTGAGTAAAATTTTCATTTTACTTTTTTCAACTTTCTCCCGCCTTTGTTTAATTTTTCTTTGATTTAATTCCCTATACCTTTTGAAAAATATGCTAGCACGAGAGGCTTTTAAGCCACCAAATTTTTCTCTGAAATAACCTAAAGGTAGCTTTAAATTGGACGTATTTCTATCAAACGGACCTAAGCGCCATAGGGTGAGGAAGGTAGTGGGGGGCTTGGATTGGCGGCGGAATCGGGAGTCCGGCTTATTCCGTCTTATACTCGCAATGCTTTTCCATGGCGCTTAGGTCCGTTTGACAGAACGCGCTATCTGGGATTCGAAATTCCTCAAAAGGAACTCAAATTGGCGCTTAGTTCCGTTTGATAGAAATACGTCCAATTGCGTCACTCAAATGCCCGATTTTAAGAATTTTCCGGGGAGGACCCTCGGACCCCCCAAGCGGTCGTCCGTTCTGCGGAGGGCGCGACTGTAAGATTTGCCTTGGAGCGCTAAAAAGGAAAATCCGTGCCTGGGAAGGTGCTGACCTGTTGATGAGGATGCGGTTGATGGTCTCCTCGGCGGATTGGGTGAGGATGGTGAGGAGGTGTCCGCCGGTGTTCCTGCACTCTTGCTCGGCCTCCGCCCACGGGAGAGGCCGCTCCTCGACGACGCTGACGCAGGAGTGCCCCACCGCCACCGACCCGAACGGGCACCGCTCCACCAGTTCCGGGATTGGCACCGCCTCGTATTTCACCAGAACCACCGGGAACGGCCCTTCCGCTACAGGCAAGCTTTTGAAATGCAGGTAAACCGTGCTACTCGTCTGCAAGCAGTCATTTTAACATCAGTCCTCCCATTTCCCGAAACTAGTTCTCAGTGGGTCACTTCCACTGGTCACAGAATGGACCACTAGACAAGGCACGAATTCAAGCATTCTGATACATGTTTCATTATCAGAATTTCACGTAGAACACGATTCGCGCAACGAAAATTACTGAAACTAACTCCTGACGAAGATATTAACCTTTTTATTGCACATTGGTTACGCGGATTTTTAACTGCCCGCTGACAAGAAACTCAAAGCTCTACGTGAGTCAAATCGCGCACTACAACATTTTCAGCAAGCCTCTTAATCGAGCACTGTTCATTTCCCACCATGTGTTGTTCCAATTATAAGAAATTTGCTATAGCTGAGCCAAAGCGTCAAAATTGTCGTTGCCAGATTTTCACATCGCAGAGACTGTCACGATAATATTCAACGCGCGATGTGAATCACGTAGAGCATTGAGTTTTGTTGAGCGGGTGGTTTGAATTCACGCATCAGGAATCATTAAATATCTTTGTAAGGAGTTGATTTCGGTAATTTTTGTTGTGCGCATTGTGTTCTACGTGAAATTTTGGTTAAAAAATATGTATCAGAATGCTTAAATTCGTACTTTGTCTAGTGGTCCATTGTGTTTTCATGCTTCATTCTTGCAGATCAACACTGAATCCCCCGGAGAAAAGTCTATCGACAGTTCCGAGGAGAACAATGCAGACTGAATAACGAAAGAAGAGCGAGGAACTTCAGCTCACCAATAATAGATAATAAGCACTTTAATGGGAAACAGTACAAGGGGAAATCGCAATATAGATTAAGAAATTGTAAATATTTAGGCTTCACCTCTTAGAATGTATAAACAGGCCTTCGGGTCATGACCTGTCTATCATGATCCCACTTTGTCCAATCTAAATAAATTACCTTTTTTGTTCCAAAAAAAAAAAAAAAAGAAAGAAAGAAAAAAAAAAGATCAATACTGAAAAAAATAATATGCTGTTTTAGCACCTAGGATGTCAAAAATGTGTCTGGTGATCCCGAGATGCTACCTCTACTGCTTTCGCAGTTAACTTTACATCCTATGAATGCAAATTCCACTGCGTGGGCAATCAAGGTAGCATTTTAGGATCACTAGACATTTTTTTGAAATCCTAGGCGCTAAAACAGCAAACCACTTTTTTCAGTGAACTAAAAATAATAAGATCTGCCCGAACAGCAACTTTCTGTGTTGGATATCAACCGAAATATCGCGCCTTGAAAAACGCGATTTATGACGTCAAAAACCCGACTTTTCAAAGAACGATATCTCGATTAATATTCAAGGTGGAAAGTTGATTTTCGGACAGATCTTATTATTTTTAGTTGAGCTGCAAAAATGAAGCACCGAAACACAATTCTGTCACCAGCGCAGCTGACCCATTTGAGATTTTCCTGAATTTTTCCCGGAACTTTTGAAATTCCTAAAATGTTCCGGATCTGTTGCGTTTTCCGGAACTTTCTCGGAACTTTTGAACAATTAAAGAATCCCGGAACTTATAACGGTCATGGAATGGGGGAAATTGGAACGAAAATGTTCCGAATCCCTGAACTTTTNAAATTTCCAAAGGAATCCGAAAATAGGCCTCTTGCGAAAAATTAAATTGCCCGGTTAAATTTGGCAATAGCTGGTATGAGTTGGTTCCTTTCTACTAAACGCGGTCCAGATGACAGGCGGAAGGAATAAATAATTAGGGTATGAGGGGAATAGACCCCCCCCCCCTCTCCTGACAATGAATATCGAGGGTGAAGGAACAAAACCGCCTAACCGACAATTTTGGCAAAAATGGGTTGGCAACTTCGCCGAATTTTACAGTATAAAGTACGCAAGTTGATGATTTGAGTTGTTTTCCAGTTCTGTAGGGGAGCGCTGTAATCAGGCTGTAATGCATGAAAAAATTGCATATCTTATAACTTCAAAATTACAGGAATAGCAAAGTTTTATATTCGTCTTGCAAAATTGTCAGTTTACAGATAGGCGGTATTGTTTTTCAGCCATTGATGTGAGGTGGGAGAGGTTCAATTACGATTTTGCAAGATGACAGCATTAATTGTCCTCCGGTTGAATCCATTAAAAATGTCGAATTTAGGTGAGGCAAGCTTCCTCACGATAGACTGCGCGTCGCGCCGCGCCGCATCGCTCGGAAACCAAATCGCTGCTAGTTCGCCTTCAAATTTGGCGACGCAACCTAACCCCACACCGAAGTTAATTAAGTTGTATCCAGCGAGTGGCTGTATGCTGAGTGTTTCTAAGTGCCTTGAGGACCTCTGGACTCCAACTTTCAGCTTCTGACCAGCGAGATCTTCTTTGTTTCTTAAGGATAAACGACATCGATGGCCAACGTGCGGAACCACGTATCTCCTTTTGCGACGTTGCGGACCTCCTGTTATTCTTTTTTTTTCCCCGCTCTCCACTCCTCTATTAGCAGAATATTTCGTAGACATTTTGAAATTTTCGTAGAATATTATAATTGTGCATAATCACTGAATATTCCACATAGGTCGAAGAAAAACAGCGAAAATGCCCATAGCTCAAAACTCGTTCGTAATTATCTTCGACAACAAATGAGGAAACGTGTTTTTCGACTTTGACCTCCGAAGTGTTCCATGAGCGAAATTTTCTTTCCGAGCAGACCTAACACTCTAAATACGTCGCCTAATTAGACAATGACAGTGCCGGTTCAGTGTTTTTTTTCTCAATTTAAAAGCATGTAAAACAATCGATTCTCGGTACGGCAGCTCGCCTCACCCACTATCAATATTTTTAACGGATATACTTGGAGGAAAAACAGAATTGCCAACTTGGAAAATCGCCACTGGACCAAGATCCTAATATAAAAAGTTGTAAAATAGAACGAAATTAACCGCAAAGCAATTCTGTTCAAATGAGACTGAGAGCATAATAATACAAAAAATTAAAGTCAACAAAAGGGTAAAACCGCGACCAAAGTTATCCCCGCTCTCCCTAGCCCTGCTAACCACCGTCCAACCATTCCGAGAGCAATTGGACGGCTCCGAGCAGAATCAGCATACCTGCACTCGGTTATCCTGTGAAGAACGACTCTTTTTCAACGAACTTGGCGTGCGGAAAGAGCTGTTTCTCGCGGATTAATTCACTTCAATTAGGTTGGTTCTCCTTAGGCGTTCAATTAATGAGCCGCTTGAGACTATCAATTTATTGTTCACCGAGCAAAATCACTGCTCTGCGCTGCTCGTATCCGCACTAATGAAACTTGGTCATGATAGCCACCTGATTCTTTTCCTCAATCTATATTCCCGGGAAGCACATTTATGTGCTGTCGTGCCGAGGGAAAACGCCGTGTGAACGTTCGAGGGTTGCCCAATTTTTCCGGATAAAACACTATTTTTTGAGGAAAGTTACCATTTTTTCCCGTGAAATTGTTAGATAATTCAGATCTGTAGCAAATACAATTCTCTGAAAAATTGGAGAGAAAATACTTGTAGCTCCTTTTTTAAAATTCGTATATTAAGAGAAGATATTTGGCATCGTCTAGCGGTTCATGCAGCGTTCTTCCTTAGCTCGGCAGTCTACCTCACTGAACTTTCCACGGAGCGATGTTCATGGGAAAATACATTAAAAATAGGTTTCCGCGTTCGTGACAATCAACTTTTTTTTTTTTTTAATGGGAAAGTGAACTCCTCTGAGAAGGTGAGTTTTTCTTGTCACTGGTTGTAAGAATCATCATTGGTTCTCTGCTGTGCTGAGAAGAAACGCTGTATGAACCTTCAGGCGTTGCCAAATTTCTTTTGACGAAACACAAATTTATTGGAAAAGTTGTACATATTTTCCATCCAAGTTTTCAGACAATATTGTTCGTAATTTAATCTAAAATATCTGAAAATTTCAAGGCAAAATATGCTCAACTTTCTTTCAAAATAAATGGTTCAATAAGGGAAATTTTTCAACATTCGGATATTCATAAGGCGTTTTTCCTTAGCACGGCAGTACTGTACACATTAATCATAATTTACGTATGTGTGCATATGTCCGGACACTTTCTCTCAGGAAATTTCTCAGCAAACAAAGCTCCCCGTCGGAAACAACCCTGTAGCTTTTCCTTGCAGGCAGGCAGTCCCCTTGGGGCCACATTCCCGCCAACACTTTCCCGCGGAAAGAAGAGGGAAGCCTTAAAAGATTTAAAAGTCAAGGATTCGTTTTGGGAGAAGAGAAAACTGCGAAGAGTGAATATATACATTTTTGTCGCTTCAGCACTTCCTGGAGCTCTACGACCCCTAACCGACACTGTTCTGTATTAAACCATAACCCCTCGCACTTGAAGCTTTCGGATTAACTACTCTGCCGTGATGGCGAAGAGAGCCGTAAGTGCAACATTTTCGAAATCGAGTTTTCTTCAAAATTCGTCTAACTTCTTTTAGATGAAATTACTGAGACAGCTAAAGCAGCAAAATTCATCCTAATTTAATGAAAACAAGACGTATGAGAAAGCCGTAAGTGTACAAAAAATGACACAATTTTTTTCAGGGCAGCCGTAGATGCATGAGAGCCAATGAAAACAGTGCTTTCCAGTAAAGTGCCGCCCATTTCTGCCAATTTCTAACCTGAAAATGTGTTTGTTGTGCGTCCAAAACGCAACCATGAAAGCATGCAGAAGATAGCACTTACGGCTGTCTTGCCTAACAATAACCTAGCATGGAAATGAAAAATACCCTTTTTATGTAATGGAAATAAAATCAGTCGATTTTTAATCATCCATACGATTTCTAGGAGTCTTCCGGACGATTAGTGGCAATTTGACAAAGAACGGAGGCTTCTTTCAATAAAATGTTCTTGTCAGAAGCTTCTGAGCCCGTTTTCTCAAAACTTCATTTTTGCACCTACGGCTCTCTTAGTTATCACGGCAGTACTCATGGCCTTTACCCTCTCATTGGACGCCATCTAATGGCGATTCCAGGAAGTTGGCAACACTGCTAACACTCCATTTGAACCCATTGAATATATCGATTCTAGGTGAGGCAGGCTGCCTCTACCTAACCTAACCTTTCATTCGCCATTCTTTGTGCATCATCATACCATGTTAGTTGTTCCGTCATTCTGTCATGTTTGTTCGGCATCTATGATCTCCCATATCGGCTCTATCCGGCCGTGATAAATGAGTCGCATTCAGCAAAAAGGAACCAGCACGATTACAGTGTTGTAAAAATGTTGATTCTTCATAATTATCTACAAAATCTCCCGGAGTATCAAATAATTTTGGCGTCCCACCAAAAAAGTGTTCATTTTAAAGGAGAATAATTGTGTACTTTTTAATAATGTACATATATTGAATATTTTTAAAATCAAAGGAGAATTTACACGATTTTGAAAACACTGTAATCTCGCTGGTCCCTTTTTGCAAAATGCGATCCAAATATTAGCCAGACGTTTGACAGGGATCTCAAGGAATTTTTCTTCATTTAAATCGGATTGAGAGTGGATTTTCGCTGATGCTTGGACTTACCGATAGGAGCTCCAATCTCTGGGGGTAGTCGATCTGGTCGGCGCAGAACATCCACGAGCCGTCGGTCTCGACGTAGTGGATGAGGAGGTTGGCGCACCGGAGATCCTCAGAAGCGGGAACGAACCCGACGGCTCTCCCGTGGCTCCCATTCACCCCCGACTTCCCTTGACCCCCGCTCACCCCCGACTTCCCTAGACCCCCCTCGCGGAAAAAACCCCCCGCGAGATCCGAGCTCGGGAGAATGTCGTTGGAGAGGTTCTCTCTCGGATTTGTACTGGCAGAAGAAGGTGCACCCGTATTGCTAAGACTATTGCGTTCGTACTTAAAATTACTACTATGACTAGATTTAGAATAGAATTGAACGTGTTGGTCGGCCGCGTTGGCGAGGGCGGAATCGGGGGCGGGCGAGGGGGAGGGGGGGAAATTGACGTGGAAGGACAGGAGCACTTGGTTGCCGTACGGGAGGGCGATCTTGAAGTTGCAGTCCAGACTCCGCTGGGCCCGCACGAGGAAGGAGTCGAGCCGGTTGGTAAGGGTGACGTTGTAGCAGTGGTCCACCAGCTCGTACGAGAGCGAGAACACCGCCGAGCCCAGGATGTGAATCGTTGGGAACGAGGTGTCGCCCTGCCAATTTAAAAAAAAACATTCATTCAAAATGGACCACTAGACAAGGTACGAATTTAAGCAATCTGATACATGCTTCTTAACCAGAATTTCACGTAGAAAACGATTCACACAACGAAAATTACGGAAACCAACTCCTAACGAAGATATTAACGTTTTTATTTCACATTGGTTACGAGGAATTAGAACTGCCCGCTCACAAGAAACTCAAAACTCTACGTGAGTCAAATCGCCCACTACAACGGTTTCAGCAAGCTTCTCAATCGAGCAATGTTCATTTCCCATCATGTGTTGTTCAAAGATTGAGGTTGCCAGATTTTTATATCGCAGAGACTGTCATGATAACATTTAGCGCGCGATGTGAATCACGTAGAGCATTGAGTTTTCATGAGCGGGTGGTTTGAATTCATGCATTCAGAATCATTAAATATCTTCGTAAGGAGTTAATTTCGGTAATTTTCGTTGTGAGCATCGTGTTTTACGTAAAATTTTGGTTAAGAAACATGTATCAGAATGCTGAAATTCGTACCTTATCTAGTGGTCCATTGAGAATTTAATTATACATTCATTAATTTACAAGTAAATGGTGGTAGATAGTCCTGATTCCACACTATTCTGAGGGGAAGACAAGGCCAATGAAATCGAAAAATTGCTCATTAATCAAAAAAAGGAGGGGCATCGATAAGGGTCGTGTTTGGGTTCACCCACTTCCTCTACTCCACGATTTTTTACTCATTACCTTGTACGGAATGCACCAGGATTCCGTCATTCTGGGTCTAATACTGGGTTCCAAGATCTTTTTGGTAGAATTGAAGTTGGATGTCTAAGGATCGAGAAGACAAGCGAGAAATCTTCATTTGAAGTTGACGTCCTTTTCCCGTCTATTTCTCATGGACCAGTGATTCTCAACCCATTTCCCGCCCATATCTACTCAAATTTGAAGTAGTTTGGAGGGAAAAATTTGAAAATAAACCATCCTAGTGAGTCAAAAATATCTTTAAGATGACAAACTCAAAAACAAATGTTCAAATGTCGAATTGTGAATTTTTGATTTTTGTCCAAAGAGTGTCGCTTTGTGCGCCGAGCCGGACAATATTTTGAGAGTACTTGAATATGGTGAGTGACCTGCGGGGTGGAGGGATAGTAGAGGTGTCTCTGGGTGGGCGGGACCTCCTCGAGTTTGCCGCAAAAGCGTTTGGCGGTGGCAGAGGCGTTGGCGTGGCTGTCGGGCGGCGGGTGAGCGCGGAATTCCAGGTGCCCGGCGTCGCAAGCCACGTTGAGTTTGGTGAGCCAGATGACCAGGCCCGGGTTCTCGGGTGCCGCCGCCGGGCTCCAAGTCTTTTGTGCGTGCGCGTGCGCGAATGAGACGCGACACGAGGATTCGGAAGGCAACTTTGGCAAGTCCAATGACGAAAAATTACCCGAGATTAACCTTAGCTGGATATCACAATCTGCAACCGAAACATTTCCGATTCAATTTATCAATTTCTTTCAGTTATAAAATGGTTAGCCCTCAACTGGCTGATTGTTGAAAGTGATAGACCAAGCCATAGACAAAGAAGACAAAAAGGATGTGGAGGAATCCTATTGGGGGAAGCGGGTGGTTGCAATGGACAAAGCAGGTAGGTAATGGGCTAACTAACGGCAACTCACGAGGGGCCCTTTAGCTAGTCCATCATTTACTTCCTGAGTCTTAGACCACCAAAACCAAGGTTAACCGAGAACCACCAAAATTAACCAAAAGGATCATTCCATACTCGCAGAGACAAGAGACCCTCCACTGGCCTCTTGGCGACAGGTGGAAGCTTTTACTTTCGGGGATTCAACAGTTCCTTATGGACAATTATAAGGGAGCAACAGTTATCACCCTAATTTCGGCTGTTGACCTACTTACATGATCGATGATGAGCTTCAGGTGACGTCATGAGCCAAACAACTTTCCCAAACGTCGGCCATCTTCGGCTTGTTTGCAAAACGAAACTGCCAACACGTTGTTGAACATCAACCATGTAGGTAAGTCAACAGTAGAATGCTGAAGTCCCGAAAGTAAAAGCTTCCACCATGGCCAAGATACTAGTGGAGGGTCTCTTGTCTCTGCATACTCGTTATGTCCTCTTTGTCTATAGCTTTGTCTATTAATTTCAAAAATCAGCCGGCAGGCCGCTTCGCAGTCCAATCCCACAAGGCAATATGCGCTACGCGCTACTCGTGTAATTATACAATAGAATGAGATTTTCCTGTAGTATTTAACAAAAGCTGTACATGGCGCTGCGCTATGCTGGAACCCTGTTCTCCTGTGCTAAGGAAAAACGCCGTATGAACCTTCAGGCGTTGCCGAATTTCCTTTTGATAAAATACGAATTTCCTGGTAAACTCATGAATACTTGTCTTCCAATTTTTTACATAATTTTGCTCGCAATTTTTCCTAAAGTTCTGGATAATTCCAAGGGAAAATATTCATAACGTTCCTCCAAAATAAACTTTTTATTGAAGGAAATTTAACAATTCGCGTATGTTCATACGGCGTTCTTTCTTAGAACTTTAGTATTAGACTGAATTTCCTAGCCTCAGTAGGGTTCTGGCATGGCGAAGCGGGTACTCCGCATGCTTGTGGCCGATTTAAAGGGGCTCCGAAGTGTCCCTCAAGAAAAACAAAATTGGTCCATTTCTATTAAAAATTTAATTAGAAAAAACATGCTGTAACACAATTTAGTGTTACATCTTTTCCATTTTTTCCATACTCGAGTTATAAGTGCAGATAATCGCCGAAAAAGGACATTGGGTATCATTTTTAAAGGAAAAATCGGGGTTTAAGGTGGAGGCGGTTGGATTACTAAAAAAATGAACATGATTCCTTTGGGTAATTTTGTTAGGGAAAAAATCGATATCTTGATGTCCGCTTATTTTTCGAGGTATTTCGCCAAAACCGATTTTGAGGGCCATGTTGGGCCCTTCGCCTGCCTCCACCTCCCCCCTTAATCGCCAAGCTCACACTCATATCTCTAGGACTTTTCTTGGGGACACCAGCGAGCCGATTATTGAAACTGATAGACAAAGCGATAGACAAAGAAGACATAGGGAGTATAGAGCGATCCTATTGGTTGATATGGTTGGTTCTTATAGACCAAGGAAGAAAATTATGGACTAACTGTCGGGTCTTTGGTGGGTTGCCGTTAGTTAGTCCATTACCTACCTCCTATGTCCATTGCCACCACCCGCTTCCACCAAAAGGATCCCTCCAAACCCCTTTTGTCGTCTTTGTCTATAGGTTTGTCTATCAGTTTCAATAATCGGTCTGCTGGGGACTCAACTGAACCCAATAAAACAATAATTGGCTACCTCACAATTTTTCTTTGCCAGACCCTATTCTGACGTCATAGTGCCTGAATGAGCCCATCCTGCAGAACTGACGATTCGTGAGCGAGAGAAACAAGTGGGTAATGAGTATGATTTTGAAAAACTTAGGTACAAGAGTATAGTAAGAGCCTTCTCTCTAAAGACATACTTAATCATTATTGTTTGACTCTATGGATAAATTTTGACGATAAAGACCATAAAGAACCAAAATAATTTTTTTTGAAATATCAAGTAGCCTGTCTTGACTTGAATTATTTACCTTTTTTTATAAGAAAACTAAAACGATTCTCAAAAATAACGTCCTTCTGATGTAGCAGTCGATATCGCAACCTGTCAACATAATTTATTTATTAATAATGATCTGAAAAAAAACGTTTCACATTGTAGAAAATAGTACAAATGATGATGAACATTTTGAACGTCAAATAAAACAGAATGTTACGATTTCTGTCTTTACTTTTTTCTTAATTTTCATGAATGTGTTTTTTTCACTAATGATAGTATCGTGGCAGGGTTTCCGTGTCATAGATTTTCGAAGTTTCACATTTTTAGTTTAAATAAAAACCTCTACGGCATTATACCTAATAGTTTCATAATGCATATTCAATTTATTGGATTGATCACTTTGCTCCACGCATGATATTACGTAACGGTGAAGATTGAATGCATATGGTGTAGTTCAACATATTGATAGTAAAGTGCGAAACGACGTATCTCCACTTACATGTTTCAAAATTTCTGCTCTTATTTTATTTTTTCAAAGAGAAACAAGGCAACTCTCCCATACTAGCTTCAAATCTAGGCATAATAGTCTGCCACTAAAGGAGCAAAATAAAGGAAGTTTTCAAGAAATTATGTGGCCAGTTTTCCAAAGAAAATATATAAGGTAACCGAAATCTGCAACGTCCTAAACAGATAAACGTGGATTTGCACTTTAGATGCGATAATACTTTCTTCCTCATAGTTACAATCAGTTGTTTTTGTAATATCTTGAGCTTGGTTCCTTTATCAGTGATACACGCAATTGAGCTAAGTATTGCATATGTCAGGAATTTCCGATTTAAGGACTGATTCTTTTGTAAAATTTCGCGAGAAAAGCAATAGAGCCACTGGTTTTCTCTGAAATCCACTCCAAAGCTCCAAAAAAATGTCTCAAACTTGAGGCTGTAATGGAGGGAATATCCCTCCCCTGAGAGTCCACCTCTACATCAAGACAAATTATCCATGCAAAGATAGGGAGCAAATGCATTGACAGGGCTGCCACTTTATTTGGGGGCTCTAAAACTGAAAAAGGCAACCTGCTAATGCATTTGCTCCCTATCTTTGCATGGAGAGTTTTAATAGATCTTCTAGTCTGCCGTGCAAAGGAAAAACGCCGTATGAACATTCGAGAGTTGCCAAATTTCCTCTCAGAAAATAATTATTTTTGAAGAAAGATATGAATATTTTTCCAGGAACTTTAAGTGAAATTGCGATCAAAATTATATGAAAAATTGGAGGGAAAAAATTTACAAATTTTCCCGAAAATTCTTGATTTACCACAGGAAATTTGGCAACGCCTAAAGGTTCATACGACGTTTTTCCTTAGTATAGTAGCAGTGGACTCTCAGGTAGCTTGGGATATCCCCTCGACTACGGCCTCAAACTTTGGGAGATTTTCTTGAGCTTGAAGTTGATAACAGAGAAAACCAGTGGCACCATCACACGCTTCTCTCGATATTTTACGTAAGTGTATATACTGAAATCGCAAATTCCTTACGCATACACACGGAGAAAAAAACCTCGTGCGTGGGACCTGAAGTTTAGGTCATATGGATCCCTGAAGTTTTCGGATTGAGCATCTGAACACTTAAGATCCAGCTGCTGAGGTTCGGATCACACATCTGAAACTTAAGTTCTTACATCTGAAGTACTTCAGATGTGAGAATCGGAGTTTTTCGGATGTGAGAACCGAAGTTTTTCGGATGTGAAAACCGACGTACTTCAGATGTAAGAACTGAGGTTTCAGATGTGTGATCCAAACCTCAGCAGTTGGACCTAAAGTGTTCAGATGCTCAATCCGAAAACTTCAGAAATCCATTTGACCTAAACTTCGGGTCACACGCACGGAGTTTTTTTCTCCGTGCAAGAGCTCTACTCATCCAGAAATATGTTCATAATAATACTCGGTGTTGACGGCGAAAGTCGCACAAATACTCATGAATACTGATTATTTGTGGGGTACTGAAATACCTAAACTTGATGGTGGGCCTTTCAAGTAGAATCTGATCTAGGGGCGGGAGTGACCACTGGAAGAAAAGCGAGGAGCCTCTGCGTAGATGACCGGTCACGGTGGAGCCTCCGTTGCAGTCGCTGGGGCTGTTGTTCTCGCTGAAGAATTGGCCCCGAAACTCCTCCGAGTCACTCAGACTGCTCAGGCTGAAATACTGCACTGCCTGCATGGATCGCAAACTCACTGCAACAAGGACGAAATCCATCTAGAAACGTTTCTCCTCGATTAGTTTTTCTCTTGGATATGTCGAAGGCGATTAGTCGAATCAGGCATTTTATCAAAAACCTAGGCCGGTAGTCAAATTTTCACAGTTTACGGCCGGAATTCTGTAAATTTATGGCGAGGAGTTCGATATTTTTGGGAGAATAACTCTTCAAATTTGCAAACTCTCCTTGTTTCTTCCATTTTACATGTCTCTAGCACATTCAAATGTTAAAATTTTAAAAATTCTAGGTTTTATGACTAGCTGAAAACCTCATGAGAAATATGCACTCAGGATCAAGAAATCGTTTAAAGTACTATTACCAACCGATTAAGGTGAACGCACAGGTCGAAAGACGAGATGTTGGAGTTTTTTTGCCAACGTGCGTAAAAAATTCAGCTTAAAGCTGAAATCTCATATCTCTTCATCAGCATATCTCTTTGAAGGAAAATTGTGCTCGTGTGTGGGCTTTTTCCCTCTCTAATGAGATTTCAGCTTTAAGCTGAATTTTTTACGCACGTTGGCTAAAAAACTCCAACATAGAGTACTATTGTATGCTGCATATTTTTACAAAGAATTCTTTCTTACCGGAGCAATGAATCGTTTTGTCTAGAATTACGGTTAAAAAATCAAAATTTCAATCTAAGTAAGAATATTTAACTACCAGCCTAGGTATTTAATAAAATCTTGATTTGACTATTTGCCTTCGACAGACACAATCGCCAGGATCAAACCGATTTTGGTTGATTTAAGTAACCACAAAATTTGGTTGATCAAAAAAGTCATGTTGGTTGAGCTGACTGAGGAAAAAATCACTCAAAGTAACCCAATGTAACTGCTGACACTGGCATTTTTAACTATACTAGGTGAAGTTTTGCGATCGTGTAAGGTGCGATGTATGGATCGGTCCGAGGCAGGCTGCCCAACTAAAACTCCCAAATGTGCAATTTAAAATGATAAATGTATTCATCTCCCCCTTACGGATGAATTTTTAATCGAACGGTGGCCGAATACAAATTCATCCGGCATAAGTCCCAAGACTCGAAATTACTTTTCCAGCCGTGACTCTCTTTTGGCTGCCACGCAGTCTTCATAGTTTGCTTTATTATTTCATTTTTTAGCGCTACGTCATTTTTTAACTCGACAAGTTAATCGTTCTTTGCATTGAAAAAAGAGGAAGAAAAGTCCAGTAAAACATTACAAATTAAATTTTATGTAAAACTTTAGGTCCGTTGTGTAATACGTCGAATGTCCTAAAGACAGAGGTATCTTTTCTGTTAGGTATGAAAGTTTGATCCTTTTCACTGAACGAGACTCACAGTCTATGCGTTGAAAAAGCTGTGTAACCCTCGGAATTGACCTACTTGTTTTATGTTGTTGTAGACTTTATAACTGAATCGAATAAATAATGCACACTTCAATTTGGTTACCTGAAAGGCACTCGTCTGTTATGAAAGGAGAAAAGAGCTGTTTTTAGCGGTTTGTAAGCTTTCAAAGAAACTTGTCGGAAATTTTATGACTTTTAGGTGACACAACTTTACCTCATTGGTTCCCTCGGAAGTGTTCGGGAAAGATCACTTTCTTGAATTTATTTAGTATGTTCTTCAAAGTTTTCCATACTGTTTTGCAGCATGAAAACTTTCAAATTTTTTTTTTAAATATTTAATGCAGTCATGCGGTTACATTACGTCATCTAGGGCCGAATTTACCTACTTGCCGCCCATGGGACGCCTGTATTTTGCCGCTCTCTCTTATTCGTTTTGAAACATCAATAAAAACCATGAAGTGGGCGTGCCGGAGAGGGAGACGTGCATAAGACGCGTTAACTTGTGTTGGACACATTTTTTGCAAAAGCCCTGTCAACACTACTAGCAAAAGTTCAAGGAACTTTACGCGAAACCTATGTTCCGGAAACCTATCTCTGTGTGGTCAAGGACTTCCATATATAAGAAATGAATGAAAAAATTATGAAAGAACAAATATAAATGTGGTTTCATAATCTTAACTTCCGCCGCCGCGGCGCGCTGACCGCACTGTGTTTGGTGCAATGCTTGAAGTATTCCCACAGTCTTGTAGGCGCTATGCGTCTCACGCCGCCCGCTGCTGACCGCACTGTGTTTGACGCAATGCGTGAAGCATTCATGCAGCCTTGTAGGTGCTATGCGTTTCACGCTGACCGCACCGTATTTGACGCAATGCGTGAAGTATTCATGCAGTCTTGTAGGCGCTCATATGTGTTACATGCCGACCGCTGCGCCGAGGGCTTCTCCTTTTCATCTCAAGTCCTCGTCATCGTTGATCTCTGCGTCGCGCCGCTCCAGGCCAAATTGTGTCGTCGGTTTCTCTCTTAACTCGACTAATTAAAGGTGCTGTCTCTTGTATCACCGAAAGACAACATACTCTCAGAAAATGAGATATTTTGTCGCCTTTTCTCGTTTGTAATTTTTTTTCTGAATCCGATTTTCTTTCGTACTTACATTTCAAAAATTGCAAAAATTTCCGCCCTTCCCCCAATTTGTCGTCGCCCCCCCCCAAATTTGCCGCCATGGGCCGCGGCCCATGTGGCCACCCCCTAAATCCGGCCCTGTTGTCATTAGCCCTGTTTGGTAGTAAAAACATAAGAGTCATGTATCCCAATTAGGTACATATTTGAAAGTTATTGCCCTTAAGAAAAAAGAAATGGTAGGGGGAAAAAAAGAAAAAACAAGCAGTGAACTCCAACACAATGTGTTGGTAAGGCGCGATATCAACTCAAGTATCATTAACCTGAGCATTTCTCATTTAGAGAAATTTCACTGCGAGTATAGCACTAGCACATGCAGGGAATGCACGATCTACAACTAAATTGATGGCGAATCGTCCATTTATCTTTGAAAGGTTTGAATCGATTCTGACGAGCGGATCTTTTGTTAAAATCGATTTCTTCCGTCCTGAAGCAGTCGAAAGAATCAGTTCCTTCTCATACTTTTTACGTTTTATCACCTAATTTGGCTCAAACTTTGTTGAGAAGAAAAGTACTAAAGATTCACGGCAAACCCTCATTTCTTTTTCATGAGAGATCCATTCCAATTCATCCAATTCTACCGATTTTCCCGATTCTGCAGGGGTCGAATCGGAATCGGATCGTCTCTTCATACGATAATTTGGATTTGCTCAATCGGTTAATTTTGAAATTTTAGATTTGCAGGAAAAATTGAAATTACTGGATCGATTATTTAGAAGCCCGATCTTTGAATTGAATTGTTTCTCCCTGGCCGATTCAGATTGTTTGTAAAGAATCAATCCTCAGTCCAAGAATTGCCATTATAATTTTTAACGGCTCAAACGAAACTTGTCATAAAATTTTTTCTCTTTCTCAGTGAACGTAACCGTAAAAAGGATGCTCTTATACCATCAAATGTCATGCATTAGCTTGTCCACTTCAAGTTCGACGTCCACCTTCACCCTATCCAGAAATTAAATCATTGTGATGGATGTTTTAAAATCGGTATCTATTTTTGACTATCAGAAAATACTTCAACATATTAACTTGAGGTTCATATTTGCTCCATTAAAACTTAATTTTTGGCCAATAAAAGTCCAAGACCCCCAAAAGTCCACTTTAACTTGACTTGAGACACAAATAATTTTGGAGCCATGGATGAACTCAGTGCTGAAAAGTACGTGCATCAGACGCTTATCGCATGAGGTTTAGTCCATCAGCGTTGCCAAAATTCAGAAAAAAAACAACAATATTCCCGAGAAATTGGGTAAGGAGAGAGGCCGTAGATCCTTTAAAGGTAAGTTTTGAAAAAAAAAACTTCGATGTATAAAAATGTACTACTTTATGCGTGGAACTAGTTCCTTCAGTTATAAAAAAAGAAGAGTTATAAAAAAGAATTTAGAAGTAAATTGAAATAAAGTATTTTAATTACCTAACTATGTACAAATCGCCCGTCATTCTGAAATAAATTAAGACAAGTCGTAACAAAGTAAGATCACTGGAAGGTGATATTAGATAAAATTTGTTAACTTTAGAAACATTAACCTTTGAAGTTAAAAAATTGACCGATTTTAGGGAGTTCATAAATTAAAGATTTAGTTAAATTATATGATAATCGATCTCTATTCTATTAGTAAATTTAATTTATATTGTTGATTTTATAATAAAATGCTAAATCTACTGATTATCGAGAAAAATACTCAACTTTTGAATGTGGACTAGGTCTAATAACATCTTCGTGACTTCCATTTTCTCTGCATTTTTACTTTATTTCAATTGTTTTCCTAATTTTTGACGTAGATTCTATGTTTGGGCCACCCTGGAGATTTAGAAAGGCCTTTAAATGAAGCGGTTTGGTGCGTGTCAATGTACCAACAGAGAATTCTGAATTAGGATTCAGGAAACTTTAAATATTCAAAAGCTTACTCTCTCCTGCAGGGATAAGTGCAGACAAGAGCGAGAGGGAGAAGATGTATAGTTTCGGAAATATCGTGTCTCCTCTGACGTAAAGACGTATCTCGATTTTCGCATGAGCCCCAGAGAGCATGGATTTATATGTGTATTAGAGCTCACGTAGAAATTGGATTACATTTTTCAATAAGGAACCACTATCTCTGGCTCTCCCATAAAACCACATATCTGCCTGGGGAAACCTATGGCATGTATGTTGTTTCTAAAATGGGCCGGAAATAGTGGTTCCTTANTCTCTCTTAACTCGACTAATTAAAGGTGCTGTCTCTTGTATCACCGAAAGACAACATACTCTCAGAAAATGAGAGATTTTGTCGCCTTTTCTCGTTTGTAATTTTTTTTCTGAATCCGATTTTCTTTCGTACTTACATTTCAAAAATTGCAAAAATTTCCGCCCTTCCCCCAATTTGCCGCCGCCCCCCCCCACCAATTTGCCGCCACGGACCGCGGCCCATGTGGCCACCCCCTAAATCCGGCCCTGTTGTCATTAGCCCTGTTTGGTTGTAAAAAAACATAAGAGTCATGTAT